AAATATTACCTGTATGGTGCCTTACCTGGTCCACAGATGAAAGGGCCACGCAAATATTACCTGTAAGGTTCCTTACCTGCTCCCCAGATGAAAGGGCCACGCAAATATTACCTGTACGGTGCCTTACCTGCTCCCCAGATGAAAGGGCCACGCAAATATCACCTGTACGGTGCCTTACCTAGTCCCCAGATGAAAGGGCCACGCAAATATTACCTGTACGGTGCCTTACCTGGTTCCCAGATGAAAGGGCCACGCCAATATTACCTGTACGGTGCCTTACCTGGTCCAAAAATGAAACGACCACACAAATATTACCTGTACGGTGCCTTACCTGGTTCCCAGATGAAAGGGCCACGCAAATATTACCTGTACGGTGCCTTACCTGGTTCCCAGATGAAAGGGACACGCAAATATTACCTGTACGGTGCCTTCCCTAGTCCACAGATGAAAGGGCCACGCAAATATTACCTGTACGGTGCCTTACCTGCTCCCCAGATGAAAGGGCCACGCAAATATCACCTGTACGGTGCTTACCTGGTCCCTACATTATGAAAGGCCCATGGAAAGTATTTCCCGTATACGCGTACGCGTACGGCGTTTTACTGGTAACGTTAACGTAATCTAGACCCAAGTCCCTCACGCAGTCATTACCTGTAAGGTTTCCAGAGCTAAGGCAGCAGAGCTAAGAGACGCACAAATGACTGTTTTTGGCTTATCCACCGAAGTGGAGTGATTATAGTCGTAAAGGTTGACGTTTTTTTGCCCCTAAAAGTTGTGGATAAACGCCGGCAGCCCTCCCCACCGCTAGCTATCCCTCACTGCAGCAGCTGATACCCCGACCAATAGCAGCGTGGAGCTTGCTGAGAAATTGACCAATAGCGGCGTGGCCGTCTTTCGTGGCCGTCCTACCATATTCTAGACCAAGCCATACCTCAAAGAAGATGATGGCGGGTGTTTGATTTTATTTTGCTGCAGCATCGATAAGGTTTGTCGATTATGTCAACGATATTAGCTCCCATTTGCATTTTGACCAGGTTCCAGAGATAGCTTCTACACATGAATGTATAGACTTATCTTTAAAAGCAATGGATACGATGATACACGAGATATTCAAATGCACCTGCCCCCCTCCCCCACCCCCCACATAATTTTTTATAAAAGAGCCGAAAAGAGACGATACAACGTTACCAAAGCACTAGTAGCTTCGATAGAGTGAAAAGATCGATGTGCAGTAAGACGTTACGAACGAAATTTATGAGATACACTTGGAAGATCGTGCTCTGTTGCCATATACGATGTAGTGATGTACTAAACTAGTACATCTGTACATGTATTTGTTTTGACCAAGGCAAGGTTTCTTATAAACCATGGTAAAAACAAGGAGGTTCAAAATGAGATTTTGACATAGAGAGCATTGATTAAAGTACCTTTACAAAGGGTACATCTGATTATCACAAGGAGCTTGTTTTACTTTGCATTTTGATTTTATTCTGGAACATACCTGATACTGTCCTCATCAGCCAAAGTAGGAGGTTCTGTGAAGAAGAGGTTACACAATAAAAAGCCCTGACATGGCAGGACCCATCCAGCCCATTGACCGCTGCTCGGTGCACCAGATCTGCTCCGGACAGGTCGTGCTGAACCTCGCCACCGCCATGAAGGAACTGGTGGAGAACAGTCTGGATGCAGGAGCTACAAACATAGGTACGAGACACCGGGAATGTGATGTGTGCCACAAAACATAGGTATGAGACGTCTGGAATATGCATATATGCATATATGCATGTCTTGGAGACACCGACCATGAATTTTTACTGAGGGAAAATCTATGCTACAAAGTTATTTGGGAGACACTAGCAATATACATGTATGCCACAAACAACTTGTTTGAATTTTAGATTATGGATTAAAAAATTATTCGGACAAACAAACTTTTGGCATCTGATTCAACTAGATAATTAAAATATTAAAGGTTGAGTAAATCCAGATGATTTAGACATTTCTTCGCTGCAACATATACCAGCAAATACAAACTTAGCCAAGCTAGTCTGTCTTCAGTTCTCTGTTCTATGTCATCACTCTGATATACTGGATGACCAAGCTAAGTGATGACTGATATTTCTTTCTGCAGACATTCGTCTGAAGGAGCATGGCTCAGAACTACTGGAGGTGGTGGACAACGGCTCAGGAGTGGAGGAAAGCAACTTTGAAGGACTCAGTTATTTACCCATATTTTCTGTATACTACAGTTAACTGTAGTTATTATGGATCAGCTATGACAAATTGTAACATTGACATCAAGTGGCGTGTAATTCCTTATCCTTCAGTAGTGAAGCATTTGAGAAATAAACTGCTAGCTGTGCTCTTTCTACCATCCTCCAGCCCTGAAGCACCACACCTCCAAACTACAGGACTTCTCTGATCTGACGTCAGTTGAAACATTTGGGTTCCGTGGAGAAGCCCTGAGCTCCCTCTGTGCTCTTAGGTAAAACCCTCAACAATCTTTTCGGACTGTTTCTCGGAGTACAGCCAAATACATGAACATCTATTTCCTTTCAACTTCATCTGTAAGAATTAACTCCTTCAAATGTCACCATCATCTGCCATACAGTCTTTGAGCACAGCACATATAAATTTTGATCTCAAATACAACTTGTCATACAGTATGTAAATATCAAATATAATAGAGAAACTATGTAAAAATGCAGAATATCAGCAGCAGAAAGGCATAAAGTAACGTTTGTTTTTCTTTCCCCAGTGACTTGTCTATCACAACCTGTCACAAGGATGCTCATGTTGGCACCAAGTTAGTGTACGATCACAATGGCAAACTCATCCAGAAGGCTCCATGTGCTAGGCAGGTGAGTAGCCAAATCCTTCTGACATTTACAAATCATCCCCACCTGAAATGAGGAAATTTACCGAGCTTAAGGTATACAGTACCAGATTGAATTATTGTAAGTGCTTTTTTTTCTTCAGACATGTGCACTGCACATGAAATGCCAATGATGTTCTTTGTTGTCTGGGAATCTTAACTGTACAGAAGGTACATGTATATCAATTTTTTAAATTTTTTTTCAGCAAGGCACCACTGTCACCATCCAGCAGATATTCAGCACACTCCCGGTTAGACACAAGGAATTCCTTAGGAATCTTAAGAAGGTGAAAAAAGATGCACTTACTGTGGAGTGTTTTGCCTCATAATAGATGAACACAATTGTTGTGCAATAAAGGCTAACGCTGAATATGAAACAGAACGGTCCACATGTTTTACACTTATGCATTCATAATACTTTATTAGTAACTATATATACCAGTATACTTTGAAACTTTAAAACTGTAGCTGTAACATGGATAAAATTCAGTGGAACTGATTATGAAGACTGGACAGACTGTTAGTATTACTGTAAGTTACATGACACTGGGAAGATTCACTGGTCATAACCTGTGTCTCCCCAGGAGTACTCCAAGATGTTGAATGTGCTGTATGCATACTGTGTCATCAGCACAAATGTGAGAATCACCTGCACTCATCAGGCTGGCAAAGGGTGAGTCTTTTGGGTCTCATGCCATTCATTTTGTTCCAGATGCACATGTAACAAGACAGTACACTTTAATCTAGTATGTATACATGTAACTCCCCACTGAAAGATCCCAGAACACTTTTTTGAGTTTCTTCCAGATTGATGTGAGGGAGTACAGTTCTAGACGTGAATCAAGAGAAAAGTACCCGATTTCTACAATCTGATGTGTTTTGCCTGGAAACGGGCAGTTTCTACTGAAACACTTGTAAATTGAGTCTTATTGAGTATTGACACAAATATTCTTGCCATTAGCTCACATATTTATTACTCTGTATCAGAAAAACACTATAAATCAGCAGGAAGAAGGCCAAAAGTTCTCTTATTCACAATCACAGTTGCTTTGCACCAATCAGATACCTATCTCTTCCCCAGTAAGCGCACGACTGTGGTAAGCACCAATGGGAATGCCAGCCTGAAGGAGAACGTGACCAACGTGTTTGGTCCCAAGCAGCTGTCAGGCCTGCTGCCGTTTGTCCAGCACAGACCCAGTCAGGAGGTGGCTGAGGAGATGGGGGTCCAGGGGGGCAACAGCACCGAGCACTTCAGGTGGTTATTGTTTACAGTGTATTTTCCACATGTATGAAAAAGGAGTAAAACATATCATAAGTAATAATAACATTACTTGTACAAAGGAAGCCAAAAGCCTAGAAAAAATGCTTAATTACCTAATGAATGGCTTGCCTTTTGAATGATATGATGTCAAATTTGATACTGAATTAACTCAAGTAAATTGAATCTAATATAATTACAAATTACATTACGGTACACAAGTGCAAGAGTAAGCCAAAAGGTACAGAAACTTATTCAAGATACTGGTCACCCTTTTTAATGTACTGGTATGCAGACCCAGAGAAAGGTCAACAGCAGGTTAGATTTAAAAAGGTTGAAACATCTAAAATTTAAAAAAAGGATTTGGTATTGTATGTGTTTGTGCGGAGCAGGTTTTTATGTCATGTTGACTCAGACCTGTTGGACAATATTAACAACAATACAATGGCATGCACTGTAATGCCTAAGTCTGTTTCTATCTGTCAGTATTACAGGTCACTTGTCCACGTGTTCCCATGGCCAGGGAAGGGGCAGTGCAGACAGACAGTACTTCTTCATCAACAAGAGGCCCTGTGATCTTCCTAAGGTAGATATATAGTCAAATCAGACAGTATTGTGAACACAAATGTTATGGACTCACTCTATAGAGAGGATCTAAGTGACCACCATATAGAATTAGCATTTGCCAGATGGTTCTTGTGTCATCACTTGTACTGGTTTGACTGTAAGTCTTTTGTCCCACGTCTTGTTTAGGTTTCCAAGGTTGTGAATGAAGTCTACCACATGTACAACAGACACCAGTATCCATTTGTAGTCCTGGACATCTCCTTGGCCAGAGGTAAGTTCATGTCAGACACTTGGTCTGTTAAAATACTGTTAACCATCAGCACTTCAGGTTACCAATGTATTTGTTACTGAAAGTTACCTACCTGATAATTGTATAAATGTTGAATCAGATGTTCTTCCCATCTTTTGAACCCATATCGCTTTTACATTTGTATTTGGAGGTTGAAAGTCCTAGCCCATAATATGTGTGTCTTGTAGATTCGGTGGATGTGAACGTGACACCAGATAAACGACAGGTGTGGCTACAAGAGGAGAGAACACTGCTGGCAATAATCAAGGTAAAAAAAATCTAGGAAAAGAATTTTGCTTTTACAATGTATATAGTATTTGACTTTGTGGGTGTCATTGTAGAGCAATTGCTCTATTTGATCAGTGTAATACTGTTTTTGACATGACATGTAAGTGACATGAAGACTACCTCAACAGAAAAACACTAAATTTAAATTACTACTAGTATATTATGCTTGTTTTTGTGCCTTTTTTAATATTTTCTAGTACTCATCATTTCAAGGGAAGAGACATTCCAGTTCGAAAATTCCCCAAGTTTTCACCAACTCTGAAAGCATATAGATTGAAAGATACTGGAGGAGTGGTGATGTGCAGACATGTAGTAAGCTGTGTCATAATATTTCAGACGTCCCTTATGCAAATGTATGAGCCCACATCTTCTGTGTATGCAGTGAACCAGGCTGTTCTTCCCAACACAGGTAAGCTGCAACCTAACCTACCATGATTGTGTGTTGATTATTTGAATCTTCAGCTGAACAAAGATCGTGTGTATCTTGATTCAAAACTGTGTTGGCCCAGCTGAGATTTAAATGTATGGCATTATGATTTAGAAATGAGATTACCAAGTTACCTGTTTACCCATTTTTGTGCACACACTGCCATGTTAACACAAGACCATATGGTGAAGTCTTCCTTTATTTCAAAGCTTCATTTCCACCAGTTTTGTTCAATACAACTCATAGCAGCAAGCAATTGTGCAACTTATAATGTAAACATGTCATTGACATACATGTATAAATGTGTATATATTGTCATACATGCAGAAAAGGACTCTCTGTGGCTCTTAGAATGGCCATTTAACTAATCTGTTACATATTTATAATTAGAAGTCCATATTTGGCTGACAATGACTGCAGTCATTGCTTGATCTATTATTTAGGCTCAAACTTTAGATTTGTTGGAAATTTAAGTTAGGATATTATGATATTATTTGTTCCATTCCTCCTTGAGACCAACATCATACGTCCCTTTCACAATGTCTCTCCAAAAAGCTTTCAGTGTCATTTGAAATGATATGACTAGTACATATAAATGTAGCTGCATAGTGTCATCAAGCCATGCAAAGTTGATATACAACGAAGTTGTGCAATATGAATTCATGTGCAGATTACTCTGTAACAACTGAGGTCAGAACAGGAAAGTCTTCTTGTTGATACATGTCTTGTTGGCACTCAACAATCCACCTGTCAATGTCAATCTGGAGGAAAGGGGTTGTGCAGAAAATTTAACAATGATTGTATAAAATGTACAATTACCAAGTTATTTTCTTGAGACATTTTTACAGTAATAGTGTGAAATGTACATTCTTGTTGATTCTGGTCTTACACCCCTCTCTTAACTCTACACTTTTACTGGTACATGTAGTAGGAGTATTACTACAAGTCAAGCAGTAAACGTGCTTGGGCCAGTCCGTTGCCAGGTCCAAATGTATCAGTTTCATGCCAGCAGAGCTACCCCAGCCATGGCAGTCACCAGCAGCATGAAGGGCATGATGGTAGCTCCACTAGCAGTTGTCATGGCCTGAAAATGCAAGCAAAGAAACATGCTTGTAAAAATTTACAGCCACAGTTCACTGTTGTTACACAGATTTAGAAGAAAGATATAACATGTGAAACTCTTGTGGTTCTCCCTGTGTGTTTCTAATTTGTTTCTACTGTATTTGGGATAAAAAAAAAATAAGTAGAAAATGTCACCAGCATGAAAGTTCATCTGTGTTTGTAGAGGTTATCATTAAAAAAATGTTGAAACATAACAAAACATTGCAGAGGAAAAGTTAGCCTGACTCACCATGGTTGGATTGGGTGTCACTGTAGCACCGGTGGTAGCATCACCACTGGTGGGCCCAGTGTTTGCTGCTGTGGTCCCACCTGCAGGCGTGGAACTGGCAGTGGTAGGGCCAGCGGTGGTAGTTGATTGTGCTGTGGCACAGCTGACAACCACAGTCACCAATCCCAGGTAGAACAAGATGTTTCTCATCATCAAGCCGAGTTGCTACTGAAATACACAAGGAGAACTAAAGTTAGCCACTACCATAAGCTAAGTATGTTGTACATGTACATGTACATGTACATGTATGCAGAAAATATATTATATAGGTTTTTCATTTTGATCAGGGGAGGCTGTACCAAATGGCATGAGATATATTTTACTACCTTTCTGGAAAAATGAATCCTAGCATTCCATGCACAATGTTAAGTCTGGAAAGCGATTACAGTGTATTCAAATAAGCATAGAGATTTTTTATATTGCAGCCCTTGCGATAGATTTCGTTTACACAAATTATGAACTGCTCTCACTTTGAGCCATGTAGGTAAAGCAAGCAAATACTTTTTGCTCATATCATTATGTTCTATGTACCTCAGATAAGTAGCCTTTTAAGGATTGTGATGGAAGACAGAAGAAAAAGAAGAACACAGCTAAAGCTCTGTGCTATTGTACCTGTTCTAGGCAGGGTTGTTGGTTGCCAGTCGTTAATGGACAATTGCGAGGCAAAGTACACATTTTACACGCAAAATCAATATTGTATTGAACATAAAAAACACATGACCAGGAAGTGAGGAAAACTTTGCTCCCGTAGGTAGCTAATGGTGTGCTACTACAATGTACTTATTAATCCACATCCCATGTCATGCATGCCATGAAGAAATATCCTTCATAGTAGTCACAGAGGTCATTTTTCTCACCAGTTCTTATACTGTATATTTTTGGATGAACATAGGCAAAAGTATGCTTCTAATAGTTAAAAATGGGAAATTTGCACTGTCTACACAATATGTAAAACCTTAAAAGATACTTACCTGCTCAAGGAGGGCACTGTTCAAAATGCTTCTTGAGTCGTGGATGAATGGTAATACAGTTGACACCACTACGTATGCTGGCACAGCTCTCTTATTAGGCCTGCCCAAAACTTGACTGTTGACACAAGTCGTGGCCTTTTGAGCTGTGATACACGATCAGACCACACCCTCTGACAGCACCATAGCAATATTGCTACTAACAAATCAAAACAGACTATCCATCATTCTTATTTTTTAATCAAATTATCTCTTCTTCTGTAACAGTCATGCCACATACATTTTCATGTGGAACACTATCACCTTTCTTCATACAGAAAAAACAGATAGGAGTCTGCAGACACTTTTGGGGGGAGACACTCTGTTTCTATGGGTAACAAGATGTCAAACATGTCATCAGATGTTTATACAAGGTTGTGTTAATAATACTTTAAATGTTTTGATGATTTCTTTATCAGAATTTGGAAGGTAATGATTACCCTCAAATGGCCAAATATCAGTAGTCGTGTTTACCATAGAAAACTAATCACATTCAAGTTTTAACTTTTGTTGTTGATTTGGACTCTAAGACTCTAAAGTTGTTACCGGGTATCCTGATGTGTCCCTTCACTAGGATACCTGTGACAAGTGAATGAAATCGCAAGGTGTGGTATGTTTAACCTAGAATCAGCAGGTAGCTGTGTACATACAGTAAGACTTCCCTGATCCCTGCTCAAGTTTAGAGAGCTTGACCAGTACATGTGTACATGGGTTGGTAATAAGGTCAGGAATGCGTTAAACTCTTCCACTTCACCCGCCTTCTCATTTAGAACAGGATGCTGACTGCTGAGCTTACATGTACATGTATGTCTCAGTTGCTATGAGTATGAGTCACCATCCTTTACTGAAAAGTGTATGGGTGCTACAGTTGTCCACAAAAATCAAAACCTGACATCTGCAAAACATTGTTGATACACTGTTATTTTGTGGAGGTTTTAGGGATTAAAATGAGCTTTTTGGTCACAGCTCTCTTGACTGAATTATGGTGACTTTACCCAGCTTTTTTTTAATAAACCAATGAATCTAGATATAAGAGTAATGCAAATAAGGATCACCAGAGAAAGGTAACTATTTCTTTGTTCTGCTCAATGTTTTTTTAGAATAGCCCTAACTACATGTATATAGCAAGTTGCTTGGCTACTTTTAGAGTCATATACTAAATGGTTTATAAAATAAAGGTCACAACACAATACAAAGGCTATGGCCATTTTCCTGCTATGTCAATCAAGTCCCATAGCAGAACAAACAAACCTTGCCCTACAGTGGGAAAAACAGTCTCATTACTGCTACATTATGGGGACTCTATTTACAGAAAAGAAGGAATTTCTGTTGAATATTGCTGAATTACTAGTATCCAATGAGAAGGCCAGAACAGTCACAGTGACAGTTGAAAGTCAAATGTATAGAGCCTCTAGAGATCAGTCACATTTACTTCAGAGGTCATCAGAACTAATGACAGACTACTGTATTTGATCTGTGGTGTACGTGTTGAAAGTAGCATGTCCAGGGTCCAGAGTTTGTGTGAACTTTATCATGTGAACTAATTAAATAACTGTTGAGCAATGTCCATAGGTAATATTGTTTACAATGTAGTCTGAATTTGACCAAACACCTAATTACATGTATAAGGCTTACTGAGCAATGTGCAGAGATCTATATCTGTATCAGTATAGCCAGTGTAACCGCCCTTCGGTGTAACACACCAGAGATAATATTTTTGACAAAGTAGTCTGAATTTGACCAAACACATAGACGTGTGTTTACTGAGCAGTGTCCAGAAGTAAAATATTGTTGACAATGTAGTCTGGAGTTGATGACTCAAAGACTTCAAATATTTTCTAATTCAAAATTCATGATAAGATTACCTGAGTGTAACAATACAAGATGTTCTTTTGAAATTCTTTTCCTTTATTGTTTTCTGATAAACATACAAACATTTATGACAAAATGCATAGTATTACATCACATGTAAAAGGTTGAGAAATATAACGTATAAAATACATCATTAATTTTATTACTTATTACTACAAAACATGCAAACCATTAAAGTTAGATAACATCAGCATGCATGATGACATTGATAATTATTAATTATCAGATGATTCAGATCTCGTTTTCTTTGATCAACATGACATTTCTAGATACTTATTAGGCAAATGTGCCATTGCCACTGATTTTCATACTATTTTTAGTATTGATAATGCCTCATACAAAAATACAACTTTGTATTGTAACCAGACTCTCAAATTCTTACGAAAAAGTTATCTCAGCTCCATTCTAAAAGGTATGCAAATTTGAAAGCAAGAGAAACAGACTATAGCATGAAGTACTTGATTGCCCTAAAGTTACCTCAGCAATAAAGCATGAGATTTGTCTCATTCCTCACAGGACCATCTGGTCTCTTCAAGGTCGAATGAACATCCCTGACCCTCGTGTCATTCCTCCAAAACCAGTCTTCCTCTGTGAGGTGGTGTGGTTTTGTGGAATATCTGGAATCTTTTGACACCAAAGAATAAGACGGTCTGGATAATGATATCTCAGTCTCATCTCTCATAGGACCATCTGGTCTCTTCAAGGTCGAATGAATGTCTCTGACCCTTGCGTCATTCCTCCAAAACCAATCTTCATCGGTTGGGTTGTATGGTTTCGTGGAATATCTGGAAGTTGCTGATGTAGAAGAATAAGAAGGCCTCGGTGATGATATCTCAGTCTCATCTCTCACTGGACCGTCTGGTCTTTTCAAGGTCATCTGAACATCCCTGACCTTCATGTCATTCTTCCAAAACCAGTCTTCCTCGGTTGGGTTGTATGGTTTTGTGGAATATCTGGTATCCGTGGACATGGAAGATTGAGGGGTTCTGTATGATGACAAGTCAGTCTCATCTCTTCTTGGCCCGTCGGGTCTTTTCAAGGTCATGTGAAGGTCCCTGACTCTTCGGTCAGCTAACCAAAACTGATCCCCATCGGTCAGAAGATATGGTCTGGTGCTGTACATGTGCTGAGAAGTTGTGGACATGTCAAAAGCAGAGGAGAGACCAGAATTTTCCCCTCCCCCATGACCTGTCCAAAAAGCGTCATTGGATGTCAGCAGCTCGAGGGAAACCTGGGAAACTCTCCTCTCGTGGTCTTCCGTCACATCACCGTACTGTTGGGGAGATCATGGTGTGAGTTGATGGCATGTGTACTTGGAGTGTGATCTTGAGATTGGAGACATGCAACTGTGATTTTGAGATGACAGTGAGATGATGATAGATGATTCTTGTGCTTAAAGTTTTGCTGTACTCCTGCATGCTGGAATACTGATGGTGTTTCAAGGCTGGATAGTTTTACATGATGTGGTTCTGGTGATGATGATGATAGTAGAGATGTGATGAGTGTGCTGAATAAGATGTGGATGAGGGTGGTGGTGGCTTGTAAGGATGATACCGATGGTCTACCAGGTATTGCTTTCAGATAATCCGATTAAGAAGCAATGTGCTCTTTAGATCTGTTTTCACTTGGTGCAGGCTTAATCACAACACTTTTAGGACGTAGCAAATATAATTTGTGCACTTCTTAATCTATTTGAGATAGAACTTCTCAATCTACAAAAATTATGTTTCAGAAAGCATAGTCCTCTGCAATTCACACATCTACATTTTTGTAATATGTTAATCAAGTACTGGTATCATTTGGCAAGTTACAATTTTTCTTGTCTTAGAACCAATGGTAATTCTATTTTCAGAAGAAATATTTGTTCGAAACAGGTTGGGATTGGAACTACTGGTAAACCTGTTTCGAACCCTCACCAACTGCCAATCCCATGCTTATGATGTATGCTATATGTACATTGTAGGTCTATACTATGATAGTTTCAGTTACTCCGACTTTTGTATGACTGTCTATGACAGACTCTTGGAAATAGTGCAAACACTATTAACTCCTCAGAAGGGCCTGATGGAGGCTACTGTCTCACTAGGAGAAGCTATCTCTGATGCTACGTCAGTCCTCACTAATCTTTCTATCTAACAGTTCAAGTTCACATTCCATGTGTTTGTCCACTCTAACTCTCTACGTCAAAATCTCATGCTGCCACGCCACCCTTGCCTTTGGTCTCCCATAGCTGGCTCTCTCAGGCGTGACTGATCTGGTCCGGGCCTTGGCTTTGGACACGTACACTGTCACTCCAACTGTCAGGGCAAACAGGGCTACAAAGGCACCGGCGATGCCCAGGTATGCCGCAAGCCTGGAGCACAGAAAGACCACAAAACGTTTTAGACAAGGTGCATAGATAGTAGAGGACAGTAGAAATCGATCAAGACTGCAAGGTACAGATATGGTCAAAACCGCCCAAGACGGTAAAATCTGGTCTACTTTTTGTATGCGGACAAGTGAATAAATAGTTGACAAAAGATAATAAGCATTTGCAATATGCATCTATGACTTACCCTAGTTGTGTTGAACTCTCTGATGGGCCCTCAGTAGTTACAATTCCATTGTTCTCAACAGGAGTAACTGATGATGACTGCCCTGGTTGTATTGTTTTTGTGGTGCCACCACTAGTATCAACAGGTATCCCCTGGGTTTGGGAGGTACTTTTGCTAGTTTCAGCAGCTGTGGTCACACCAGAGTTTTCTTGTGTAGTTGACCCTGTTATAGATGGCGGCTGAGTAGACACAGTGTTTGTTGCATCTGCTTCTGTAACTGTTGTTCTGGGATCTGCTGTAGTAGTTGTTGCAGCTGGTGTAACAGTTTTTGTTATCCCAGATGTTTGCTGGGTTGTTACAGCTGGTGTAGTGCCTGGCTGGGTTGTGACAGCTGGTGTAGTGTCTGACTGGGTTGTTACAGCTGGTGTAGTGCCTAGCTGGGTTGTGACAGCTGGTGTAGTGTCTGGCTGGGTTGTGACAGCTGGTGTAGTGCCTGGCTGGGCTGTTACAGCTGGTGTAGTGTCTGGCTGGGTTGTTACAGCTGGTGTAGTGCCTGGTTGGGTTGTTACAGATGGTGTAGTGCTTGGTTGGGTTGTGACAGCTGGTGTAGTGTCTGGCTGGGTTGTGACAGCTGGTGTAGTGCCTGGCTGGGTTGTTACAGCTGGTGTAGTGTCTGAGTGGGTTGTTACAGCTGGTGTAGTGTCTGACTGGGTTGTGACAGCTGGTGTAGTGTCTGACTGGGTTGTGACAGCTGGTGTAGTGTCTGGCTGGGTTGTTACAGCTGGTATAGTGCCTGGCTGGGTTGTGACAGCTGGTGTAGTGTCTGGCTGGGTTGTTACAGCTGGTGTAGTGTCTGGCTGGGTTGTTACAGCTGGTGTAGTGCCTGGCTGGGTTGTGACAGCTGGTGTAGTGTCTGGCTGGGTTGTTACAGCTGGTGTAGTGTCTGACTGGGTTGTTACAGCTGGTGTAGTGCCTGGCTGGGTTGTGACAGCTGGTGTAGTGTCTGGGTGGGTTGTTACAGCTGGTGTAGTGCCTGGCTGAGTTGTGACAGCTGGTGTAGTGTCTGGCTGGGTTGTTACAGCTGGTGTAGTGTCTACACTGGTAGGGTAGGGAGCCTCTGTTGTCCTGTATAGCCCATCTCTCAGGACGTCCAGCATGTCCTGCCCAGCCACCCATGACGGTGATGCACATGTAGGCCGTACATGGTCGTACTGCTCACTGACCAGGGTGATACTCCTGCTGTCTATGAAGTCTACTATCCACACCAGGTCGTCACTACAGTCCCAGGGGTTGTTCTCGAGGCCCAGGATGCCCAGGCTTGGCAGGGACGACAGAACATTCTCGTCGAGAGTTGTCAGTAAATTGTTTTCCAGGTTGATGTACGCGACACTTGTCAGCGGGCTGAAGGCGTGACTCTCCAGGGAGGAGAGCTGATTGCCCTCCAGAGAGAGTAGCTGCAAACTGGTCAGCCCATTGAAGGTGCCGTCTGGTATATCTGCCAACTGGTTCTCCTCTAGCAGAAGCAGCCACAGCGAAGCTAGTCCTGTGAATGTGCCCACCTCGATGCTAGAGATCAAGTTCCTGGTAGCAGTCAGTCCAAACAGACTGGAGAGTCCTGAGAGTTCACCTTGCTGCAGTTGTGTGATGTTGTTGTCATCAAGGACGAGGAATAGTGTGCTGGCTCCGAGACCGCTGGGTACAGTTGTCAAACCTGCCCCCTGGCACACAGCCTGTGGAGGGTGAAAGGAACGCTTTGAAAATCAACAAAACTTTGTTGAGAAACATGTTACCATGTAAATTCTATAGGCCACAATCTTTTGGATTGGACAATTTCAAGTATTAGATAGGAAAAATCTTATGCAAATATAGGTAAGAGACTCAACTTATAATTGTCAACTTAGATAAGTGAATGAAAGATGTACCTACCTGCACAGGGTTCTCACATGTGCACTCTGACGGACAGTCTTGGCCATGAACCACCACCACACTGATGCGGGAGAGAAGGAAGAACCAGAGGGCTGGTCCTGTGTGGGCTGGCCAGGGGGGTCTTTGGGACAGCATCTTAATCAGATATATGTAGCAACTTGGGTTCTGCTTTGTGTGAAAGTGGAGAAAAGCAAAGCAAAAAATTAGAAATGTTAATGTTAGCAATTTTCATGTTAATTGGCAGTAATATTAATTTACATGGTTTTGCACATTCAAGTACAAAGTTAAATCCAAACAGACCTTTACCTCATCCTAGAAAGGAGCTGGTAGGAGTCTACATGTTCATGTACATGTTATGTCAGTGTTTGTCGAAATTAAACATGTCTTCTCTAGCTTGTTAAAAAGTTCTGTCATTCACTTTAACCACACCATGCCTTTGGGATTATACGAGTTGCACCATTGTATTTTTCTGAAAGTGTTTCTCAAGGGCGTTTGCACTGGAAACACACACACCTGCTTCTGCCCACCTAGTTTTTGCATTGATTGTTCACACATAGTAGGTGACAAGTAGTGTTCAACCTTGTTGGCTTGGTAGAACCACCAGCCAAGTGTTTGTTGTTGAAATTACAGCAACTTCAAGCCCACCCTTAAGGGCCCAGGTGAAAGTCATAACCAGCATTGCCATTTCCAACCTCTCCAAAACAAGTGTAAAATCAATGTATTTGAGTTTCCACTTTGCTCCTTAGTCATTTTTGCACCACCATGAAAGTCAACATTACATTTTGCTGAAGTCAACCATAACACAACACATGAAAAAGTTCCGGAGCTTTTTATCGGGACACGCTCTTAGAAAATGCGTCACCACAGTTTTTGTACGTACTACGTCAATCCTATGTGCAAATATTTCAGGTTACATTGTTGTGTTTTTCAGCTTGTCTAATTAGTTGTCAATGGTGCTACTGTAAAACAACCTTTCAGCAAAGATCCCCTGCTGTCTGAAAAAAGTCTTCTTTGTATAAATGTAGACCATCTAGGATAAAGCTAGTTTGCTTCTTTTCCCATATAGACCACAGGAGAGTTTGCCCTAAAGATCACTGTCAGTGTTTTGAGAGAATGATTTATAAGCTTTTATCAACAGTATTAGCTGTCCTGGCAAAGTTAACACAAGTTAGAAGACTTTGTCTGTACCTTGTCCTGCTTCAGTTTACTGTGTTTTGAAAGTAGGAGAAAAAGGCGATCAGACCCCATTTGGTGATTTGTTGTCATTTGTCATTAGTGCTGAGAAAGGGAGCACACTGCAGCTGATGGCTTTTGGGTCTTGTCTGTATGAAAGTGGTGCCAGCAATCTTGCAACAAGTTCAAGGCCTTTCCAGTAACCTCCAGGGCAAAAACTGACTAAACAGTACCTGCTTTCAGGAGGATAAGTAGATCACCAGGTGTTGTGTGGGTACTGCGCTAAACTTTGCGGTTTATCTAGCTGATTCCAGTGTTTTTCTAGTCTGATATCCAAATCCATTATAGTTGCCGAGTCTCTCTCATCCTGTCCGCATAAGTTTGGATACCAGGTTAGTATTTTTCAACCATTACAAAAGGTCCCATTACTACTGACCCATAAGCTCAGGCTTCCTTTAATTGTCGTCCTTTCCTTGTTAATCAGATTAAGAACTTTGCAGGGTAACCAGTAGTTAAGGCAGCGGCCAACAGATCCATGCTCCCTTTTGTGTCATGTCTTTGTGGCATCACGCTACAATCCGCTCACACCTTCTCACATGGGTAGGTGTTGCTAGGATGTGTGTATGGCCTGTTTAGTTTAACCTGTAGCTAGGCAATGCACCTGTGAATTTCTGTTTTTCTTACATGCTCTCTTTTCTGTAAGGTTGGACCATTGAGACATTTTATATTCCATTCTTAAATGAATAATGAATACTCGGTTCAAAAGATGACCTTAGGATGTCTTGGTTCTGCCAATGATAAAGAAACATGCCAGACATTTTTTACTTTGTTCTAGTATACTGCGTCTGATGTGATTGTTTCAAACTACATGTAGTATGACAGAGTTTTTAAGTGCTTGTTACACTCATGTTACATGTACATGTACGTATCAGGTCCAGGTATCCACACTGAACTAGCAGGTGAGTAAACAGGTAGTAAGGTTAAACCAACTGGTCATGCCAATTATAAGGCTTCCACGTGTCACAGGCTTCCAACCATGCTTCCTTCAGGATACACAAATAGACTGTCTCCTAGCTTTCCTCTCCTGAAACTAGCTGCTGTTTCACAACAAAATGTATCTAAACCATCTGTGGAGTCCTCAGTTTTCATTCTGAATTTCATTACATTATTCCATTGACAGGTCTTCCTTGCCAATTGGTAATAGTCTTCTTCCTTAAAGCTGAACATCAATATTTGAGTAGTAATGGTGAGTGGGAGTCATTGCTTTTCTGACAAGTCTTACCCTGTTGCGCGGCAACAACGAGCGTATTACGTGCTGAAACGTACAAATACCAGTGGCGATCAGCAAACAGAGCGAAAGACAACAAAATCCACTTCGCTGGAGCTCTTTACTCATTTTTGATGACACAAGCATCCCAAGACAGGTAATATGATGAGGCCTGTATTTAATGCCCTTTTGAGCTCAAGCTTATGCTATAATCGCTAACCCTGATACATGTACATACTGTACATGTACACATACTGTACACAGTGGCCAAACCAAACCTAAAGCTATGTGAAGTTTGGTAAATATTGATGAAACATGCTGACGCCAATTAGCAAATTTATTGCAAGACAAGTTGATCGACTATTTCTTTTTGTACAAACTGGCCAGACCTACACAAAGTCTAGTTAAATCAAGAGGCAGCGTGATTGATTATTACAAAACGTTTATAGGTGTGTTGATCGATAAGGCTCATAAAGGAGAAAACAAAGGATTTGGACAGACGTCATGACTGACGCACCAGATGTACAAATGTACATGTCAGATTTGCTTCATTTAAAGACACAGAAACTACCATTTGTCTTGTGTCTGTAGAACAGACACACTTGCATGCCTTTTTCAAATAGCACTTTAGGATCCAAATAGTTTAAAAGTACTTTTGCTTCAGATGGTACACATCCAAACTTGTTTGAAGCTTGAAAAGGATGTTTGAACACATTGTAGAGCTTCATGTGGTAGGACAAAAAGCAGGGATTCAAAAGACAGAGAGGTTTCATCCCAGGAAATCTCCTGAAAAATGTCAAACCAAAACAGGAAATCATAAGAATTGAGTTACAGACATATGCAGCTGATGTTGCTCATCTGTTTGAAGTTGTATCTTGGCATACTTCATCTTCATTTGGGTTGATCCAAAAATTTCCTTCATGTTCTCCTACTTTTGTCCCTTGTGTTTGTCATTGCAGCATTGAATGATTACTTTTTCCATTCATGTATTTCCTTTAAGTTGAAACTTTGTCCTGTAATGAACATTAATTTGTCATTCTACCATAAAGTTATCAACTGTTGAAACTGCTCTGCTAAAAAGAACTTTTTGTTCCCCACCAAAAAAAGAATGACTGTGCTGCACTTAATGTCACAATTAACACATCATTATGCTATGGATCTGTGACAGTTAAAAATGCAACTTACCGACTAGTAGCTGGAGCAACAGGTGTAGCCATTAAGTAGACGTTTTTTTCCACTCAGTTGCTTTGCTTTCGCATCTTGCTGCTTGCAACTTCTGAATCGTTCATGAGCACACATGATGCATTTAAGGAGCTGAACATTTTCCCCCTCACCCTACAGCGCACTTCCCCCACTATTCAGATTATGCAAATTTAATTGTCAAGGTGGCTGTGACGCATAGAAGATGTGGTCAGGCTTAAACATCCTGGCACTCTTTCATACTGGCAGATTCGGGGTCAGCAAATAAAACAGCACTTTGTATACATAGGGGAGTGGCTGTTTGTTAGTCATAGTTTCCTTAAGCTTAGGTTCGCCAATGACTGCCACATGAATGACTTTTTGGGTTGAGAGTTAAGTTGCGGTTAATGTTTTGGAAACAGTTCTGTACTTCAGAGCACCTACTAGTAACACTTAATGTAATTAGCTCAGACAAGTGAGCAAGAAACAGTAAACAATTGACATACCATATGGTAAAGCTTAAGGCTTCAAAGTTCTCTACATGCCCTGGTGCACTTTTCTCATTTCGGTTAGTTGTTTCACTTGTTTGGATGTGTTGCTTCAAAGGCTTTACTGGAGAAAAGGCTTACGGTGAATTATTTCCAGGGAAAGTTCATTGAAACAGAAAATACTCAAACTACATATAAGACGCAACAGTAACAGAGATGAGTCTTTATGTTAACGCTTGTGCAAGAGTATACACAATGTAGTACCGTATTACTTGTGTTATGCATATGAACAAGTGAAACTAACACGCTGACGTACATGTTTCCATAGCAGCCAAGGCTGTTGAAATCAACATTGTTTTGCTTTTATAATCTTATATGAATGGAAGTAATTACAATGAGGAAATGCATCACTGAGTGTAGCTTTAAACATGTTTGAACATACCTTATCTAATGAAAACATAAACCTCTTACCTTGCTTCTTGTATAAACACTTTTCTTTCCACTTAGGCCACACCAATTTAATTTCTTGGTTAACGGATTCGCCGCTTCATTTTTTTCTGATTTGCAAATAAAAATAAAAATTCAGAATCAACTGCAAAATGCTTATATTTTGCCGTGAACAGTTGAAAACAGTCCTTTTCATACTTCTTGTTAAAGCCATTCCATCTTTCAATGCAGTGGTATCATTAAAAGTTCAAAATTCATTGTCAAAATTTTGAACCAGCCTGGTGTGTTGACTTCATGGCTCCTATCGTAGGATGTCTAGGCCTGTTTTTATTTTTATTTTTTTTTCGCCCGCCCGCTCCATTATTTTTGTAGAAAAATCCGTTAACCAAGAAATTAAATTGGTGTGGCCTTAGATGTATGATATACATGTACTTGAATATGTGAGAAAAGACATAATATAAGGAGGATAGATTTTAGAAAATGAAAAAGATGCTGGTGCAACCCTAAGCCTCACCCTAACTTAGGTGATGCAGCAGTATACAATGTATGTGAGGTTGTATATGTTGTGGTTTGGTTTATTAGCCAAATCAAACTACTAGGATGGTACCCAGATTAGTATGAATTGCTGTTTGCTTTAAATTTTTAAAGTGCTTAAAATACACTGATGATGATTTTTCATCTTTCAGTTCTTTTCTTCTTTTCTGAATGCCATGTACAGGATTGGCACAAAAAGCCTTTATATCCCATTAAGGTCCCTGTAATCAAGCTCTTGAAGCCTCTAATTAAATGTATTTTGTGTGTTCAGTTGCAGCCTCAAATCTTCAATTACCATCACCTGACAACAGAGACAGCAGGTAATTTATCTTGCAACCTACATGTAGGATTACTGAGATTTGCACTTCTCTGTATTCAGTACTACAGTAAATTTATCTATTTTCACAGTTACCGAATCTTGAAGTAGCAAGGGAAATGATCTTTTCACTGTGTTTTAAATAAAGTTTACAGTTGAAACAATATTATATGTAGTAATTATTGTCAGTAGTATTACAATGGGCAAGAGATTACTACAAAAATAAAGCCACTGGAAAGATTTCCAAATCTACAGCAGTCACAGTGACAGATGTCCTGGGACATGGAATATAATGAAGGATGTGAGTCTCCTCTCCCGACGTTGTTGCTCTAATCCAGAGTGGTATCTCCTGGAACACCTGCAGGCTGAATTAATCCTGAAATGGCTCCCCTCTGACATGAGTTATTTGTTATTTTCCACAGAGAGACGTGTGGAGTAACTTCCAGTGTCAAGGACAAGGTAGGTTAACCACATTCATCAATCATTTGTACCAGTGTTCTAGCCAGCCTGATTTTCTATGTCATCTCAATTTTGTTTGACGTATTATCATGTTGAGTGCTGGAGACATGATGCTCCTAGTGGGGCTCTGGGGGCATGCTCCATTCAGAACATTTTGAAATCTTGATACAAATGGTAGATTTGCTGGTAGCTTACTTTAATGACATCCCTCTTTCCATGTCTACACACATCTTTTTTATAAAATTCTGTCAAAAGTCCACATTAGGATTATGCTATTTTGAGGCTGGAGTCCCCAGTTGAAGAATTTAACTTGGTAATGGTAGGAGTAATTATAGTAATTGAAAGTTTGCTGATATTCAAATCTCATTCCTGATTTGAGATATTCGTCAAGTACAAAAAGAATTTTCCTCTTAATTGGAGGTTGGTTATCATAATGTATGTTTTTTTTCCTGTCAGAGAGCTTCCAGCATTTCATTGGCAGGGCTCAAAAGGTGTGAAGCATTTAAGTCTCCTTTGATGAATTATTCAATATATTTTTATTCCTTCAAGGTTGAATGGCATTTTTCCTTGTTATACATGTAACCGTCTACATTGGTCCATCTTCAGTGTGTATTTCGATAAAGAACACTAGAGATATTTGTAACTTAAACTAAATATTTTATATTAATAATAGATCCTTCTCGCATCCATCTGTGGACAAAGATGACACCCCTCAGGACAGAACTCCAAAACGTATGTACACATATGTTCCTAAGGATTGTGATTTTCATGTAAGAATCACCAGTTTTCCAAGGACATGGTAATCAGAACACCTTATCTGTAAAATACAGTACTTATATCCTGATTGAAAGTAATGACAGGATGCTGTTCTGAGCAGGTGCATCAAAATTAGTCCATGTGTCCAGCCCTTTGAAGTCTGTACTATTATGAGTCGGGTTTGTGTGATCCTTGGAAAAACATTTGAAATTGTTCCCTTCTTGAAGACTACTGTTTAAATTACCAGATGAAAGTAATATAATTGTGCATCTGCAATGCCATGTGTCTTCTTTATTCTCTTCTGATCCCCAGTCAACTTTACACCTTCAAACAATTTTTTGTCAGAGAATTTATATCAGCCAGATACTACATGGGAGTCATCACTCCTGTCCTCCCATGTTGTTATAGGGTATCTTTTATATCTCAAATCAATTACTGAAGAGAATATTTACCATGTCACTTCGTGTCTCTTCTTTCCTCACTACAGAGAGAAAGCTGGATACTTTCTTCAGAAGTCCTCCCTCTTGTAAACAGGAAGCCACCCCAGAGGCTACCAGTACATCTCTGTTTGACACAAAAGAAGAAACTCGTAGATGTAAACCTGATGATTTCCCAAAATGTACCTTCACTGGCTTCAGTAGGACTGATCATATGCCAACAAACAACAAAATCGAATCTGCAATTTACATCAAAAGTACCAAGTCTGCTTCTGAGCTTGAATCATGGACATCTGTTCATGATGGGCTTCAAAAAGATGAATGCCTTGCTCTGCCATCTGATGAAAGCTCTGCCATCAAAGAACAACAAAAGCAAGCCATTCCTAGCACTTTATTTGAAGAGAGCCCACAGAAGCATGGCGGCATTGCCACTCCATCATCAGATGAGTACAATTCTAAGGAAGATTCTTGTCAAAGTGAGGTTACAGTACAAATCAAAGAGGTGAAACAACAGAACAATAGAATATTTCCTCTAAGGCAAGATTCTAAAAACCAAGAAAACACATTTACCCAAGAAAGGGAGGCAGATAGTGGGAAAAGTAGTCATGCCAAATTTCCTTTGTGTAAATCTGTAAGTGCAACATCGTCAACACTTTCCCTCACCAGGAGTGACTCTCCTGATACAGAAGTAGTCAAGAGGGAAACTACAGAAGACTTTGAAACAGAAGTCCTCCCAGTCTGCTTCGACCAAGAAGCAAACATACATCGAAAGGAAATCAAAGTTGCCTTCAGTATGGACTCTTTGAGACAGAAGTTAAAAAGACGTGCAGAAAGTAAAGAGACAGCAGAGAGGATGGGAAGGACTTTTAGGGCCAAAATCTCCCCAACTGATAACCAGGCAGCAGAGGAAGAGCTCAGGAGGGAAATCAGGTGAGCTTATGTGTTTCTGAACCAGGATTCAATTGTCATTTTTGCCAAACTAACTTCTGTAGCAGTTCCTTGGCTTCAACATTGACTATATTTAAGTGCTGCAGGTGTTGGCTACTAATAGCCAATAATGAAGTCAAAGGAGGCTGGTTAGTTTTGTGTTTCTGTACCAGGGGGAGTAGTAGTTTTAATAATGTTTTTACATTTGCCTGTGTACAGGGTGGGTACAGAGGGCAACAGTGCCATCTAATATTGCCATCAGTGCAATAGAATTAGATGTGCTTGCATATGATTTGATTTGATTTTTCTTTTGTAATTTGATTTGTAGCAAGGACAAGTTCAGACAGATGGAGATCCTGGGACAGTTTAACCTCGGCTTCATCATCACCAGACTGGGGGAAGACCTCTTCATCATTGATCAGGTGTGAAACAATCAATCACAAAACTTGCCTTTGTGCTTCAACACTGTGCCAAGCAAGGCTGAATAAAAGGAAAGGGGAACTATGGGATTCCAGATGTCTTACTGAGGAACGACTGCTGTGTGCAAGATGTCAGTCACTCTTCTATATACGACCTTGTGGATGTTGTTACTTTGAAGGGGGCTGTAAACCAAGCATAGAATCTGTTCCATGATCACATCCATGTTATTGACACTGTGTTTTGTAAGTAGCATGCCACAGATGAGAAGTACAACTTTGAGATGCTGCAGAGGAACACGGTGCTGCGGGGACAGAGGCTGATCCAGCCGCAGAGCCTCCACCTCACCGCAGCCAACGAGAGCATCCTCATGGACAACATGGACATCTTCACCAAGAACGGCTTCGAATTCAGCATCCAGGAAGATGGTACAGTACCAATGATCTGTAGAAAACATAGGCCTGCAGTCAAACCTGCCCAAGACAACTAATGGCAGCAGTAAAATTTGATCTAATGTGCATGGGCAGGTGGTCACTATCAAGACAATTATTAATGCTTGTGACAGTGGGAAAAGTATCTGACAGACCATTAAAAAAATGTTGACATGGATGTCGACTTGACACAATCTTTGTTATGGATATATTGAGACAATCTTTGTTATGTATATATTGTTAAAGGAATACAAGTTGAGGACAAGTTGGTATCTGGTATCAATACTCCTAATCCAGCCAGCGCACAAAAAGAGTTGCCAGTTATTTTGTGGTGAAAATACTGCTCACTTTGGATAAAGGATTATGATTGAGAATGTTTCATTTCTCCTCAGCACCCTGTACAGAAAGAGTCAGGCTGGTGTCCATGCCAGTCAGTAAGAACTGGACATTTGGGAAGGAGGATATAGAAGAACTCATCTTCATGCTCAGTGATGCACCGGTAGGTTTTGTTGCAAATACAAATCTGCACAGCTATTTATTCTGCTCTCAAGCCAGGAGGATTTAAATAGCTCTCTGCCTGCCAGTATTTAAGTCATTGGTGTCTTGCAAAGCCTGTTACGTGTTCATGCACACAGGTTCAGATTATAAAGCATGTTTTTGAAGATTAGAAATAACACATATTTTGTCGTTGGATGTGACTGATTTTCAGCACCAAGGACAGACCTGTTTAGTAAGTACAGTAGTACCCTTGGTAACTTCTGGCCATGAAAATATGTAGTCCTATCCATGTTGTTTGCAACATGCCTTCAACTTGTAAGCCTAACCGGGTGCAGAGGGAATATGATTGTATGGAAATGATAGGAAACCTCTGAATACTACAACACACATGCAAACATGTCAGAATTGTGATATACATGTAAGTTTTTGTTCCTGTGGGTTCCATGAGGAAGGCTAATCTTTACAATCAGTACTTTTCTGTGTAATGTTCCACCCTTATTTTGCAGGGTGTGATGTGCCGTCCGTCCCGTGTGAGACAGATGTTCGCCTCGCGAGCCTGTCGGAAGTCGGTGATGATCGGTACGGCCCTGAACCGCGGGGAGATGAGGCAGCTGCTGACTCACATGGGAGAGATCGAGCAGCCCTGGAACTGTCCTCATGGCCGCCCCACCATGAGACACCTCTTCAACCTCAACATGCTGCCGGACTGAGCCAAACAGAAAGTCCTGCTCGTAAAGATTCCATTAGGAAACATTGCTGCAGTAACATGTTATGTCAACAAGGCAACTATTTATGTTGCTGCGCTGGCAGTTATACCGGCTATAGAGATATTGTAACCAAGCATTACAATGGTACTTCCATGTCATACTAACATACACACACAGATACGTTGAGTACAGTTTCTTTTTTAATTCTAATTACTGGTAGAATTGGCTCTACATGGACCAGGACAGATCTGGTAAATCAAGTATCTTAAAAATTGGAAAACAATTTTTCAAGAAAGGAACACCATGATGAATAGTGTAAAGATTTTATTGATACTGCAATATTGTATGATGATTTATGTTGTAACACAAGAATTACAAATCCATTTAATGATAAAATTAATAAGATTTGTTACTTTTAAATTAATAAATTGTTGGATGACTTGACACACGTTACTCCTGAGATTTTCACAATAGGCATGTCTTATTACAACACAACAGCTCCTGTCTGAAAATGTTACTTCATATTGTCCAGACTTTTAACAATGCTGTGTATTACTGACATTCCTTGCATTCATTACACCAGTACCTTACACTACAGATATTGCACATTGTTGGTGGTAATGTTGATAGGAAACAAATGGACAATAGTTTATGACTTGTCAACCACACGACCCATCCTTCCAGCCATCTCTCCATCTCTCATCCACCTTGGAACAGTCAAACTCTGGCTTTCCAATCCTCCTGCTGACATCATTGTGTGCCTCACACATCCACTGGGACAGGTTGTGTCTGCTGGCCACATCAGGGGGGTTGCTCTTCAATCTGTGGTGAGGAAAGATGTGCCAGATGAGAATATGTATAGGCTGTAAATGGTACAATACAATGTAAAATGGTGCCGGCTAGGTCACTTTGGGCCTATGGTTGGCTGGATGCCAGATCCTGGCCTTTCACAAGCCATAGATTTTTTTGGGTGGAGAAACCCTTATGTCCACTACCAAGAGTATCCGCCCAAGTCCTTTCTCTTTCATGCCAGCGTCTGGTAGCAAGGACATAATTAGAGCCCGGTGCCGACTTAGGCCTGGCGGGGCGTCTGTCTTGTTGCCACATATTAAGGTAGACCACTTTTCCTTGGTCCCCTGGGCGGTCGTCTTTAATTGACAAGTTTGACAGTCTTTTCTTCACCTTTCCCTGAAGTCTGTTGCACACTCCTCACACGGGAAGAACTTGGAGAAGAGGTGGATGAACTGGGACATCTCTTGTTGCTGGGTGGAGGAGGGTTTGTCTGGGTAGTATGCAGCCATGGTGTGCATGAAGGACCAGGTGTTCCTCCCCAGCTCCTCCCTGTCCAGGGGACACTCAGGGTCTTTCTCCTCTTCCTCCTCACCCTGTGGACAGGCATGATTTGACCTTTGAGTATAAATGACTCAGTGCATTAGCTCTATATATCGGTACTATTACTACTAACGCAGTAACTACTTATCATTGCATTGGGGTCAAATTAAAATTGATAGACAACCCTGTGCTAGCTGCAGTCAGTTTCAATTTTGCAAAGATGTTTCGAATGTAGACGTCATGTTTTGACATTTGCTTGACATGAACTGGCATCAAGATACATTTTGTGACTTATATCAAATTGCTAATAGTAAGTCCCTGTTTTGCTTAAACATGATTTTGTATTACGCAATACCTAAACCTTGTTACACACAAGACTAAACACATTTCGATCTCATGGAACGTAGCATAATTTAAAAATTCCTAATTTGTGTGGACTTATCATTTTATACAGATCACGCAGAACGTTTCACCTCGGTTTAGTAGCGTGAAACAAGTTGAATGGACCGTATTAATTGCTTATGTACTACTAGTACTTCAGTATTGACATAACAACCGGTAACCACCCATCGTACCTGGGGCTTACTTCGTGCGGGCGGCATTTTCCCCTGCATTCTCATCCAGGTCCTGAAATCAGTGCAGGTCCGACAGGGTTTCTGATGACCGCCTTCTGCACCTGCACCTGCAGCTGTGTCTTGTTTGTTTCGTGAGGAATCACTGGAAGACTCGCCTGGGAACATCCCGGGAAATTTTGGCATGGGCGCCGCCATCTTTTCAAATAATAAAGCGCTTTGGATGATGGGACTTTTACTTGGAGGAAATATTGTTTTGGGTTATCAAATCATTTCCGCTTTTTAATGAAATGACAGCGATAAAAAGCTATAAGCTATCCAAAATCATGAACCTGTGCATGTAGGCAATGTTAAAGTTACAGGTCGACAAGAGAAGAGAGGGGGGGGGGAGACGCAGGTCAAAGGTTACAGGGACGAAGGAGGACCGAAGCGAAGATGCCTATGTTTGGGAAAAGAAGTAAGAAAACTCAATTACTACGAGGCCTACATCATTTTAGCGTTATATGTCCAATGCTAAAATTATAAAGGCAGCTTCTGGTGACTTCTGTATTCTCCGAAAGGATAGTTTTTACCAGTAGATAGTCGTGGAACTTGGTGGATTTTTGAAGGACAAAATCTGGGGGAGGGGGGTGGTACAGGAGCTGCCATCAATTTGAAATTGATGCAGTAAAATCAAGGACATTGGATGATCTTCAGGGTTATTCTGACATGCAAAAATGTATTAATACATGTATCATTGTATTGACTTGTACTTGATAACTATACCTTCATGACATGTAACGTACACAGACTACGGAACAACTAACTGAATATGTCTTTGCCTTTTACCAGCACTCTTCCAGTGGTTCCGGTTTGCCTGGGAGAGGGAGCCTGTGGTAGTCGCGGCCTGTGTGGTGGGACTACTCCGTAAGTTTTATTTATATAAAATTCATGCGTATGCCATATTCAACATTCAAATTTACTTTGAAGTCTAGGAGTAACTACATGTGCAAGGAATGTTGAACTGATATACATGTAAAGAAGGTCTTCAGAGATCTTCAGGCTTTCAAAAACCTCAAACGTCAAAGTCAACAGTTTGAAATTGTCTGACAAAATAACAGAACATTAAGTTATGATTTTTATTTTTTGTCCACATTGTATCTGACCCAGAGTGTTGGGCCAAGATGACCGGGGTGTTGGACCAAGTTGACTATGATTTTGGGCCGAGTTGACCAGATCTGCCATGGGTCAAGTTGGTAATGGTCCAAGTCATTGTGATACTGATACAGTTCAAAGATCATGCTACCTGTATGATGACTGTCAGAGTCCTACTTTTCAGTTGATGATATTCTTTGTTTGGCCACAGCTCCCTTTGGTATTCTCTTCATGCCTGATAGCTGGAGAGAAGATGTGATGAGAAGACAACGCATGGTAACAACCAGATACCCAGGTATGTGTGGGAACAGGATGTACATGTATGATACCTGTACTGCTGATGTTTCCATCGGTCATACATATGGTGTAGGTGGACATCATCATTTTGAGGAAGTATCCTGGACAAAATCCTCTCTCCTGCCTCCCAAGTTTTTGGATCAAAAGATCAGATGTTTTCAGAAATTCAGATAATGTACTACTACTATATTACTAGATGTACTAGAAATTCAGATAAAGTACTTCTACACTCACATACATGGATTACATGTAGGTAGACATTATTTTACGTTGGAAAAATTCTAAATATTTAGTGTAATTTCCATATGAACCATGGCATGATTCCCTCCTGTCATTCTTTTTCAAACTGGGTAAATAATGTAACATTTTATGGCATTTTTTTCTCTGCAGTTCCAGTGAGAGATGAAGGAGATGACACCAAAGCTTAGTGACGCCCCCTAGTTGCCAGAAGGTGTACAACACCCACACTGCATCTGTAACCTAACCATGTGTGCTACTTTACTCTGTACCGCCAACCAAAAACAACATGATAATGCTGTATTGTGTATATAATGCTGTAGACTTGGTAGAAACATTCAGTCATTCACAGGATGTGTTGCCCTGGTTCTTGAGTTTGCCATCCTACTTGAAACTGTCAAAGTCCATGAGTGGAAATTTGTTGTCCCCTTGAAAGATGTAATAAAGGAAGTATAGAAGACTGATGAATGTCCATTGAAGTTATTAATACATACATGTGTTTGTGTATTGTTGATAAATAGGATGGCAAAGATTGGCCTTGACATGTTTTAGTATCTGTACACAACATAAATCTAACAGGAACACTGTTAGAAGGAAGTAAAACAAAATGCAGGAAGGTGTTTGTAAAAATAGCGGGTACATTGTACAATGTACATATTTTATCTTAGGCTTGTATTGATGCTGTAAGTTTGCAGTAGAGAATTTACAGCACAAAGCTAAGTGGGAAGTAAGAGAAGAGAGACTGGCCTGCTGTGCTTACCATGGGGTAAATTGTTCCTTGTATTATCCATCACTTGCACACTTACCTACAAGCACACTAATGCATGCTGGCCTAACTGGGCCATGTCTAGTTGTTACAGCTTTATGACCAAACATCCATCATTATGCAGTGTGCACCATGAGATAGTGTCATGAGTTGAATAGGACCCATTTTGTTTCGTCAGGAGTAAGAATATTGATCACACTTCTATATAGCAGTATGGTACATACATGTATGACATGTACACACACCTTTCCTAGTCCTTCAGGCTAATTTTTGTTTCCCACAAAATTTCGGTGACACTGTCAAACTTAACCAAGCACATGATGAATTTTATTTTTATTAGCTTTACAGAAATTACAAAAATGCAGATAAAGACATTTAAGATTTCCACCCAGCAACAAAGGAGGCAATGCTTTTATGGAATTCATTTTTTTAATCTGCTTGACATATTTGGTCTATAGACATATAATTTACATCATCACTATAAAAATACATTCTCCACACATCAGTGGGCCACCTCATAAAGACCTCCACATTATCATTCAAAAAAGAATCTCATAAAAGGTACTCACACACAAAAGTCACCACTATGCATCTGCACAAAATATCGGTTGTGTTGATGTACAGACTGTACATAAATATCAATATCACGACTTTCGAATAAGACAACAGGTTGCCTGTCTTGCCAAGAGGGTGTTTGAATACACATGGTGCAACAATATACATGTATCTTTACAAGATCAAAAGCAATGTTACCTCTTGAATGTTTTCATCAATTTATCTGTAGTCTGAATTGGTTACATCTCTTTGATAAAAACATGTATTACGAACTATTTTACCTATATGTTTGCAGATAGTTTTGTCCTTGTTGATTCGTTATGAATGGGTGGAACATTCAGTCTGACATAATGCTAGTACATGTATTAACCAATACACCTAATGCTACATGAATACACACAGGCACGTAACAGTCTCCAGTGCCTTTAACTCTAACACAAACTTAACCGTGAACCATTCCATGTATGACCTTTTCAGTGCACTCCACTTAGACATGAAGAAGAGAATTTATGGCTGCTACATGTAGATATCACCTCTCAGTCGCATGCCACTGCTCTGAGACATCAGGGGTAGTTCCATTTTAAGTGCAAGGGTCGGTGTACGTCTTTGGGCCATTCCATTATACTATGGTACATGGGTGTATGAGGCATTGATTTTTCCAAGCCTCAGCAACAAGTTATTTTCCTCCTTCGGTTTATTGCCTTATGGCACGGTCACATTCATCGTAGGTCGTGGTACATTTTTTACATCGCAGTGTTTCCGAGCCAACAAAATCACCTAGATGGATCAAAGACAGCCTTTTTTCGTAACAAGAGAGCTGAATTCTGCAGGACACATTCACGCCATTCACGACTATCTCAAGAGCCAAGAATGCTGTCAGTTTGTGATCGCACGACGTACAAAACAAAGCATGTGACTGGGCGGGCCCTTACAACTAAATCTGGTTCAGTTCATTACGGAGAGGTGACAATCATTTTACTGAACTGAACTCAAATGCACTCGAACCTTCCTGATGGAATACTAAATACATCTTCCTTGCCTTAGTTTGCTCAACGGATTCTTTGCAACAGCTGGCCTAAGAATATGCACGTCAAGATCCTTGTCAGAAGAGTTGATATATTTGGAGCGCGTATCAGACCACTGTAGCGCTACCCTCAGGCCTTACACATGAATATAGCACTGTTATCACCTCCCCAGGCACATTACGTACATTAGGCCGCGCCGCAAGTTGTATCCACTGGAATCATGGCAATAACATCATGTCTAGACGCAAGGTAATAGTTACTTCATTAAAGTGGAAATGTTCTAAAGCGCTGTCTTAACTTTTACTACCTTAAATCAATTAAGAATGAAGGACAACCGTATTTCAATGTAAACGTGACTGTTGATACCTGCAGATTTTAATAGTCCTTCTCAATATTAAATACCCTCCCAGACCAGACGTGAACATGTTACCTCACTTATTGATATGTGATATGTGTAAGACGTGACCGATATAGAGGTGAGTTGGGTTGGGTTGATGGGTGATGGCACCAACTCGTGCCCTTTCTATCATGTTCAAAATAATACAAACTTTATTCCATCAAATATGAATGGTCTGCCCTGGATTTTCTTTTGAATATTCTTGGACATATAGTTGATGCAGTCGGATTATTGTTTGATTTGTCTATGATCATCTTCCACAGAAAAACCTATTTCTCTCGTATTCAATCAGCTCATTTAGGGCACCACACTAGACGTCATCAGTTCTACAAGTCTCATCACTGGTTCTATACAAGTCCGGTAAACACCACTGTACAAAATCGGCTCTCTGTACAGACGCTTCTTCCTGATACTAGATGTTACTCCTCGTGTGTCACAGTACAGGAAACTACCCAGCATCTTGTCGACTTTGTGGTACCGTCTCAGGTTTTGCTGTTCTTCTTGGACGACTTCAGACCCTTAAACTTCGACTTTGGCTGTAGAAAGAAGATATGTGGAAGGTTGAATGTGGAATGAAGAAACGTTATCATCCATATGATATAGCCTTGTAATATTTTCTAGTTGTGCAGTTGCTGTTGACTGTACTGAGAAAATGTTTGGCTGTACACAGAAACTTCACAGGCCTGTCAGACTCGACACGTTCCTCTCTACCCTCAGATATTTCCCTTGTTGATGTGGTTATTATTAAGCCTATGATGGTTGATATCAAGGGTATGAAATCTAAATTATGGTGGCGACGCTGACGTCACGCTTACGTAGATCAAACCACAGGGGGGCCGTACACGCGGCAGATAGCATGCCTGACCGATTTATTGTTAGAGAGAACCGTTTTTTCTCGATTAAGTCGTCACCAGGTACATGACGAGATTGCTCAGTAGGGACGGATCCGTGCCTGTGCAGTCGTTAGCCGTGTTGTGTTGGTGCGTCGGTAACCCAGGCGTGAGCGGCATAATCAGTCAGGCATGATAAAAGAGACACACTGAATCTAATTCTGAGAATTTAGAATCTTGGTTCGCATCTATATTACTCTTAAAGTAATGAAGACAAAAAAGCTTTATCTACTACTAATGTTAAACTGCCTCAGGACAAAAGGCGTAGATGTACCTGATACAAGAGTGGTTTATTTAGGACAGAATACAGCCAAACTAAAGTTATTTCACTGGTAACCAACGATCGCGGTACCGGTAAGCTGTCTGTGTATCTAATATTCAAAGTGCATCGCAGCTAGAGAGCTCATTCTCATCGCATTAATCCGCAGCTAAGCCTCCTCGTACAGACTGAAGTCGGATTTTACAACTTCAAACGACCACTCGGACATGGAAACGGCGGCCCATAGTCATAAACCGAGAAGACTGGGTTACCATAACGTCATATACAGTTGTTAAACGCGCCGAGTCTGCAGTGGGAATGGAGCCGCATTTCAAACCTACCGGACGTGACTTGAAAAAATGGTCAGGACAAACCATAAGCCAGCTGGCCAGAGGATCGCCCGGGGGTGGAGACAGCTATGGGACTGAGCTGGTGAGGTGAGAGCGTGGCTTGAGAGGACAGTATTTCAAAAAGCAGTTATATATTTGAAACTATAGGACTACTAGTCCCTATTCTAAACCGCAGATTGACGGAGAAAACCAGCGACAAAACTATGACGGAGGCGATTGTAGCTAACTAACTGAAAAAAAATATCATTGACGTCATAAAAGTTTGTTAAAACGCGCAATCGACATTCAATGCCGCTAATGGGGAAGAAGATTATTTCCTGCTCAGAATAAAGTACTCTTCAACAGTTTCCACACAAGACATCGCCCTCACTCCAAGTTTCGTGAGCAATCCCTCACTGCTGCTGCTGAACGTTATATTGATCCAAGCTTCTCAAGACATCAAAGAGGCTTTCCGCGCCCTAAGGTTAACAGGTTGAGGTTATCTGCGGCCATTTTTGATCACTGGGTTGGAAGATATATCCCCCGTGGCGAGACGTTAGCTCACCGCGAGTCCCATCACGTACCGACTTTGAACCGGTGAGCCCGGCAAATACACCGGTCTGCTGCGCCGGTAGCGAGATTTTGACAGCTAATCCCAACATCAGAAACATCAGCAGAATGAAGGGCGGAGGTCGACACAGACTTCCGGACACCTTTGATTCATTACTGAAGTTACGTTTTAGCCATACCACTAGTTATGATCAATGGTGCGTGGGTCATTAGGCTAGTTTATGAACCACAAGGATAAAGGGTCGTGTCCGGTCTACACTGTAAATCTGTAGTCCTGTATGTCTGCAGGTCGGTGAGCGTACATTATTGTATCTACCAGAAAGTTTGAAAGTTTTTCATATCAGTGATCATGAACGTCCTAATGTACTTACTGAAATTTTAATATTCCAAGCCTAATGTGACCAGGTCCTGATGTATATACTCACCGGTAAGATACTGAAGGAGCAGGTGAGGTTTTCAGACACTATCATCGCCCCTCCCGCGTTGTCGAACTCGCCACAGTAGTTGGGCGCGCTGAATAATGTCACCAGCTGCAGCGTGCACGGGAAAAATACATCTCTGAATCCTTTCATTGACGCCGTGAGCACAATCACACTTTTGTCGTTTCTTCGAAATTCGTCAGTCGTATAACAATTTAACAAAAACAGTTGCTGGCATGTACAATTTCGTTTAACTCTCCGCCAGGTGCATTTCAGGGCTAGAAAAATGACAGAATGTAGCAGAAAGCGGTCGATAGCCCAATTGACCCTGCAAAACCTGTTAGGCTAATTCCTCCCATTCTAATTCCGGTTATGAGTCTACTGGGAGGCCAGATGTGAATAAAAAAACGCAAATGTTCATCCGTACATTTTCGCTAAGTGCCCCCATTATTTCCATCTTGGTCACGTATTGCCTCACACGCACACACTGTGATAGTATGACATACGTGAAGATATACATAACTGTTATGCAAACGTCTGGAAGTGCGCAGGCGTGTGGGCGAAAAGACTTTTCTGTGACGTCCACACAGGTGTAATTACAATACTGTAGGACACCCGCTGTATTACGCATGAACACAGAGATCCAATAAGTATCACACAGAAAATACGACTTGCGAGACAGTGGGTAGTTGGAAGTTTTCTGGTACCTTTCTCTTCTGGAAGAAAGCGTACCCGTCCTCCACGACCTGGTGCGCGCGCACGATCAGGCTGCAGTCGTGCTTCTTCAGGAAGTTCCTGACCACATCCCCGCCGAACGTGTAGGACACGCCGCGGTCGTTCTCACCCCACCCCGTGATGTCCTGCAATTTAAACGCAGTAGATATACTCATGTAGCATACAAGATGTCGTTGAAAAGGTTCATCAGTCACCGGTATAGATTAACAGTTAGTAGAATATTCATCAATCAGTGACTCCAAATTTTCAAGACGTTCAGTATCCTTGAACCTTGACCTCGACCATTGTTGGCTATGACCCCTGGTATTCTATTAAATTTGCTCGTGTTGGCCGGTAAATGTTAGGTAATAGAATGTGATGAAAAGGTCAACCTTATGTAAGCCAATTTTAATTGGCTTACATAAAAGTACCGGTATCGTTTTACAGTTACATGTAATCAACCTGTATCTGGCCAATATACTTAAGAAAACGCGGATCTCGTTACACATAACCGTATAATGATTACAGGCTGCATCAGTAGCGAAACAACTGCCCGGGTATCTCATGGCTACAAATTGAAAGAAATCCCCGGCCCGCGGCGAACACTGTCATTTTGTATTGATACAGAACATGTTAGCTGGCTAGACGTGCAGTGTGTACACATATTCATTTCTTACTCGACTGTACCCTACATGAAGACCACATATGGTCACATGTGCATTTAGTCCATCTGGACAGCAATGTGCAATAAAGATTTATATCATATCGTTACAATAGCAAGCTGAATTGTTGTAGTCTATCCTTTTCCTTTTGGTTTTAATAATGAAATGATTACCCTTCTTATTACCTTCGCCAAGAAGGTTATGTTTTCAGGGGCGTTCGTGTATGTGTGTGTGTGTGTGTCAACACGATAACTTGAGAAGGTCTTGATGGATTGTCTTGACACTTGGTAGGTGGGTAGGTCTTGATGAGACCTCAAAATGATTAGATTTTGGGCCACCTGGCGGCTTGTCATGGTACTGCAGCTGAACTTCCGGTTTTGGTATCTCATGATCCAGACATGCTAGAGTGACGAAATTTGGATGGTAGATAGCTCTTGTGCAGGGGATAAAGTGACATGAGTTTGAGCCCCCTAGTTGCTTGCTCTAGAACTGCAGGGGGGGTTTAATGGACAAATGTTTAAAGGGGGATAACTCAAGAACCGATTGATGGATCATCGTGATTTTTGGTATGTATGTAGCTTGAGTAATGCTTGACATAATGATATTACAATTATGCTAATAGGGATGTAATTTGCATAATTAATGAGGAAATTCTATTAATCAGCTGCATTCCATAATAGGAAGTTCAAGCTTGTGACATATGTTATTAAGAATGAGAGAAACACAGGCAGATATCGATTATGCAAATGAAGACTTAATTTGCATAATTAATGAGAAAGTATTATAATTGCATAGTGGTAACTGCCTGGAATTTTATACTTGGGGTGTTTGAAAGTTAAGTTAAGGTGAACATAGTTAAACATAACTTATTCAAATAAGGACCTCATTTGCATAATTTATGAGAAAATGTCATCATGGCATTCTTTGTTAAGATAAGACTGTCTTTGGTGAAGAATATGATCAACAGATATAATTCATGCAATTGAGGATCCTAGTTGCATAATTAGGGGGATTAATATATAATTTCTTAATCATAAAAGCTAACATCATTTGGCGAAGGTATGAGATCGTGGAACTCTAGTATTATTAGTTAAGGCGTTCTGAACATTGGCATCATATCTCCCGGGTGCGAACCCATCTTCCCCCGCCTGCTGGAGACGATGGCTTTTCAGCACCGAGGCCAGGAACAGCCTGATAGCTGCAAAGTTATGGCAGGCTGCTTTCAAACCACAAAACAAAATGGTCCTCATAGTCCAATCCATCTGCCTTCTGATCGTAAAAACGACACATTTCCGCCTTGCAGCCACATTTCCGTGCTGCAGGATCTTCACGACATGAAAGTGGCGGAACCGCAAACTACTAGGTTGTCGTTAAACCCCTTCAGCATGAAAATGCGGCTGCGTATTGTGGTGGTGCTGCACACAAAAGTCATCAGAGGGGCCGCTAGAGCTAAGTACAATCTTTCAGATGAGCAATGATATGAACGAACCTCATCTGGGTCTGACCACAGAAGGTCGCACACGAGGCCATGGTCAGGCACGTCCAGAGGACGGTCAATTTCACGCAGCTGTACGGGAATACAAGATTTACGAGCGTCAGATTTTATGTGACGTTACTAGAATGTCTACATATTTCCGGATAAGTGCACAACACGTATGACGTATGGGTAGATGTGGATATATGTACTGCAAAAAAGTCGCTTCACAACTAAGTTGTACGTTTGCTTCATAGCTAAAATGTTTCAAAGAGAGATTTGTAAGCATCTTTGTGTGAGATCCGGTATGGGTTGTGCTCGGAGTTAATAGAACCATGTTTGCCGCGTGTGCCGACAGAGAATGTACTAGTCATTAGATGTGGATTAACAGACCTGTCGTAAGTCGGCCAGGTCGGGAGAAAGGCCACCGTGTGTGCAGAAAATGGTCCCTTCCACCAGTGCAGCTGTTGACATACAAATATAAAACACGCTGTAAGAGTTACAAAATATCGACGTCGACACCGATGGGAAAATAACACAGGAAAAACGAATTGGTAAATCCGGGTGGCTTTAAGGTTTTCCAAGACTAGAAATAATGCTGGAATATCCGAAAATTTTGTTTAATAAATCTGTTTTAAGAATATTTTGCAGGCAGCCCAGCGATGACAGACATGTTGTCAAATGCCCTGCTTTCAAGTACTACATGTAGTATGCCATACAGCCTGTTATATGTATTTGACATCCCTTATGTGATGTACAAAACCCCAACGTTAACATGTCCTCCTCTCATGTTAAATCTCTATGATCTATGTTTCTCAGTGTGTCTCTTACCTACTGATATATATATATTCACAAGCATATTGCCTTGAGAATTCGCGACTGCAGATAGATATCGTGTTATTTGCACACATTCGTTCTCAACAACGGGTACGCACCTATGGGCAAGCAGTTGAAGCAATCTGTGAAGGTCTTCCACAGCTTGATGTTGTATCTTCTTTTGCATTCGTCGTAGAAGCCGTAAATCCTAGCAATGGGAAATAGAGATGTATAGAATCGGATGAAACTCCCGGGTAAGGGGTGACCGTGCTAGGTCAAGTTGGCAACAGTGTGTCCAACATCATCTTTATTGAAAACGTGAAAACGTGTGTCGGTGTATAGGGCAGTGCCTATCTCCGTTTTCATAGCTCTGGGCCACACAGTTGTAGAGACACTATAACTGTTGGGTATAGGTAGTTCTTTGAAAGGACAGTGTTATTAGACTACAAATATTCAAAGGTAAAGGTTTATTACAAGGCTATTTACTAAAATCTCGCTGTCTTCGATGGTGCGAATGTTTGTCGCAACTTACGATTCACTTTCATGCTGGTGTTTGTGGTAAATAATTTGTTTAGCTTAGATTAAGTACATGTATTGAAGAGGTGACATCTTTTCTGTCTCCCTGTCACGTCGCGTTGCCGTGAAGTCTTAGAGCCATCCTAGTTAGCTTTCCGCGCCGTCCACTTCTACGTACGCTCGGTCACGTACCAGCCTACATCTAGTTTTCCGCTCGCTCGCCTTGTTCGCCTCCTCACGAACAAGCAACCGTACGAGAGGAGCGTACAGAAAACTAACTAGGATCCCAGACTGGTTTCCGTACGCTTCATTGCCCCTGTTCTAACGATCCGAGTCTAGCTAGGTCTTCGTTACGCACAAGGTTGCTTCACGCATCAGTGACCAATACTCTCTTGATTTTCTTTCCGTTATGATCAAAACGGCATGTAATTACAGAGTCAACTGCCACTGCACACTGAAGTAGAGAACAAGAAACAAGTGAAGTCAGGCGAGTACGTTTCACAGAAGACCTGTAGTCTGATGTAAGAACCATAAAACTTGTATATCCAAGAATGCTTAAGATTATATAACAAGGTTGATATTCATATCACGAATCATAACTTCATCAGTTAGCAATGATGAGGTGACACTGCCATCTTCTGCCAAGAGCAAATCTCCTTTTTATTTTGATTCTTATAGTGAAGTGAGAGGGAAATGGTGTAACCGCAGACTGACAGTAAGGTCAAATTGTACTTCAGAATGGTCTTTCAGCAGGCAGGGAGGAAATGACAGTGGAATATGCACAGAATCAGTGAGGAACTTCATGATAATGAATACAGCAAGACATTCACAACAACTCTTCGATTTCATGTTTCACTTGGCCACTGACCTGTTGATACTGGCGCACTCATGATTCCCCCTCAGAAGGAAGAAGTTGTTTGGGTACTTGATCTTGTAGGCCAGGACCAGACAGATCGTCTCCAGCGAACGTTTTCCTCTGAAATAGGAAATGAAATGTGAAGTTTCTGTCGTATAATTACACAAACGTGAATTGAAGTAAATGTCTAGTTTTTATTCTGGGGTTTTGAGTATAATCACACACATGTGAATTGTAGTATTAGATGTAAATTCTAAAGGGACATAAATGTATCCCTACCCTGAGTGCCTTTGCGTGTCTGTACTCGTGATCGCAATCCAGAAGAAAGGATCGTGCGCGGCGTTTTTCACAATTCTACCTCTGCATTACACCCCCATAATGATGATAGATAAGTGCCAAGGACAACAACCAGCATGTAATAACCAGGCTTGCGTTCAGCACCAAGGACAGATATCATCCTGTAGCGGGGTCCCGTGTATAAATCGTTTTCAGTGTTGGCTTCAGTATCGTACAGAGGGGTTCATGGGGTTGTACATGGGGTTGTACATGGGGTTCCTGTGCCATGGGTCATAGACATATTGTGATGTGAGTGCACCGAATCAGTTTTTTTTCAGGAAAGATTCACTCCCACAGGGTGATAACAGAAATGACAAATTCCATCCTTGCACCTCAGCTTTGCCCACCCACCTGTCCACGTAGTCCCCCAGAAAGAGGTAGTTGGCGTCAGGCGGGAAGCCGCACTTGTCGAAGTGCCTGAGCAGGTCCTCGTACTGCCCGTGGATGTCCCCGATGATGTTGATGGGTGCGTTCAGTTCCAGGAAGATCGGCTGTTCCAGGAAGAGAGCGCGCGACATCTGACACAGCTGGCGGATCTGGTTCTCAGGCAGTTGGACCTGAGACAGAGACGGGAACTACTAGTAAGTGTTTCGCTACATGGTCAATTCACTACAGACAATTCGCTACATGACAGAATGCAATATGTGAAACACGTAGAAGGAAGTTTTCATACTAGCAATGTGATTTGAAACATGGTTGTGGGGTCGTGTGGCGTAGCGGCAGAGTGCTCGACTCGGAACCAAGAGGTCCCGGGCTCGAGTCCTGACATGCCACCGGTCTTGTGTACACGTCCTTGGGAAAGGCACTTAACATGACTTTCCTCACTTCGCCCAGGTGAAATTTAGTATTGTATTGTCCCTTGTGTTGGTGGCGGCATTGATATAAGTTGAAAAAAACTTGAGTGTGCCGTCATCAAGTCTTGTGATTAAAATATAAAAACAGGGTAGGTTGCTATAGCTATAGTGCATGATTAAAAGGATCTGTTACTCCGTAAGTGATAATGAAAAAATCGTAAACTTTCTCACAAAAACATTACTTCACGTTGCAGTAAACGGTCAACAACATGAATGATTTTCACAGTACTATATTGAGACTGTGTTGTAATCACGCTTCAAGAATATTTTTGTTTGGATTCTACCATCCAAAGTTGAAAAAAATATGGAAGATTTAAAAGCTTTTAAAAGCTTTGGACCCCCTTTCCCCTCTTGGCTCTAATTGTTCCACCATCTCGCTATGTACGTGTATCAGTTTCGCTCACCACCCTGTACCACCCAATCATGTTTTTCCCCAGTAATCCAGCCTCCTGAACGTCTCGAGTGAAACAGCACTAATGTGGATTGACGTATTCCCGGCCGGGATTATCGGGCACCATCCAAGACTTCACAGACATCCCCCGAGCGTGGAGAGGCGAAAATATGACAGGTATTAATTGAATAGGCGGGTTATTTGGCTGTTTTGGCGTGAACCCTTCTCCCGGCCACCTACGCACACGTCCATGAGAGCATTACCGGCCCATTACTCAGGCTCTGCAGACGAGCAGGGTTGACCTACAGGTCAGCTAGCTGCTTGTTCAATCGTTACAGCCGGCAGAAGCCTGTTCTCTGCGGTACGGTAAAGCTCCGCCTGTCTGGTGGGGTATCATCTCTATTTCCAACATGCTGTCACTGTTCCCGTCACTGATGATCTTTTCATAATACAACATTAATTGTGTTTCAATACTTATACTGATAACACATCCGCTAATGTTTTATCTCAAGGGTCTACAAGCCTTTTAGAATAAGTACTTTTCTTCTTGATGGCAAGATTGAAATCGTAGCTTCGATCTGTTTGTCTGGTGAACGCCACATCATTTATCAGGAGCCGTCGTCGCGTCGCGTTTCTCCTCAAGTCATATTGCTAACGTCATCCTGACTGCAGCGTCTTTGTTGTTAGCGGAAGCCGGTGCAGCTGGCGTGAGATGCCCCGGGGGAAGAGCCGCTTGTTAGCGGCGATCCCCTGTCTGCTGCCCGGGTCTCTTATCCGGCACACCGGATACAAACTGAATTAGAATTCTGCTTTTTGTTCAACCGTACGTTAGCTTTAGCTACGTGTTTGGATTCAAACCCCTCGCTCGCATCATCCAAACGTAGACCTCACAAAACGTAACCTGGTATGATGAGGAATGGGGCTGTGGGCTTGATAAAACGTTTGAGAATAATCACGACTTCAACCAACATGAATCAAGTGAAATTAAATCCATACACCGTAACCCCATACCCGCCCCGCAATACTCTAATACCCTAAGGCTAGAAGTAAAATACATTGATATCAGGTTATGGCCAGTAGTTAGCTTAATTTCCCAAGAGAGTCAGAGAAATGAATGAGCATACGTTTAGTTAAAGTGATATTCGGTATCTGTTTTTTCAATTACTCGTTTCTACATTAAGATATAAAAAGTGCAATATACGTCATTCTTGCAGATAGAAACCTTTTCTACCTTCGTTTACTCTGATATGAATTGTGTCGAATAAAAAGTTCGCTTCTCTGCGTTCTCCTCGGCCGTTGACTGCACGATTTCTCCTAAATGTTCGCTTGGTTGGTTTCTTGGTAAAGCCATAAAGCCAACGTCCGCTATAGCAAAAATAGCTCCAAACAGCTTCAGCCGTGTCAGGCTTGTTTTCGTCTAGCATGGTCTGGAACGTACCATGATGAAGGGGTAGTAATTCAGAAAAATATCGCTCCTGAAGGTTACAGAATGTAAACAAAAATAACCCACAATGATCAAAGAGGGTAATCTGAAAAAGTTGTAGAACTCAAAAGAAAATCCCACCGACATTTTCACACGTGTAGTGAATCTACCAATACAATCAAATTTCATATTTCAATAGCGTCAGCAGTGGTTCAAAGCAAATCGCATTAGTGCGCCCTCCTGTGGACGCCTGTGCTGAAGAAAATTGTCAATTACATATCCCCATACGCGACCTTTTAGGAAGAAACTTTGCTCTCCTTTTGACAAGACAGTCTTAAGAAAACGTCCACGTACTTGAATGTCTGGTTAGCATTTCTAATTCCGTGGAGCAAAGCTCTATACGTGCCCCCCACTGCCATTTGGCGGAATTTCATCAGACCGACATGAAAAGTTGGAACCAGATAAGGACGCTGTATCCTGATTATTTTTCTTCTCGAGCTAAAGGCCAGTTTAAACTCGGCGGTATCGATTTTAAACTTTCATTTCCTTTCCCAACACGTGGGACAGACCTGATAGAGTAACATTACATGTCTGCCGCGCCTGCCGGTCTGTTCAGCCGGTCCCGTAAGGTTATGGGGTATAAACTAGCTCCCTCTACTGGGGAGTTTCTCATGGAGTTTGAGTTATAAATTACATGCTAAGAGATGGGATTGACATGAATATCATAGGCTCTGGCTGTATATTACTCAGCAATTTACATGTACTTTCGAGGACTGTCTAAAATCTGTTCAAGTCTTTCCTACAACGAGTACTTGTGTGTGTCTGTACACGTGACAGCAATCCAGAAAAAATGATATCGTGCGCGGCGTTTCTCACAATTTTCCCCCGCCGCATTACACCTCCATCAGCACCAAGGACAACAACCAGCACGTAATAACTATCATAGGCTTGCGTTCAGCACCAAGGACGGCTGTCATCCTGTATCATCTCATGTTAGGACAAGAAGTGCCTCGTATGCCATCGCACTGGATTCCCTGGCAAGTCTCATGCCTGTTATTTCAAGGAGCTGTAATCTGATGTTTGTGAACGACCTCTTTATCTCCAATATGTAATAGCACCATGTGCTGTGTTGGTGAGTCAATCCTTTCAGGCAACTCTTTGCCGTTTGCGCCCACTACAATTCTCGAATCCTACACAAATGCCAACTTGTCTTGTATTACGTTATATAGCCATTTCGCCGTAACAGAGGCAATCCGTTTGTGTTCTGCCCGGTGTAGATATTATTATTTACAATCCCCTTCCCCTCGCCTCCCCTGTAACTCCAGATTATCGTCTTTTAAGAAGGGATTGTCTATTTTTAAACACACTCATCTCTTATCCGGTCTGGTGGCCTTTTGTGTTTTAACGAGCATTAGGAAGGAGAGAAGCAGCTTAAATCGTCAGCTTTAGTAATTGTCAAAGCGCACATCTATAGTGGAAAAATAGAACAACTCAGTTTTCCCCTGACAACAGGCTCTAAAAATCCCGTCCCACGCAGATCCAGTGAGAATTTAAAAAAAAGATAAAGCTCATCAGAACCACGCATGTGTACGAGTACGTACAGCTAGATACTTCATACAAGTAGTTACAAAGAGGCCGACTAGTAGCACTCGTTTGACACAGGCGGTCTCTTCAATCATTCCTTTATTCTTCGTGCTCTCTATGCTCCATTTTAGACAACCTCTTCTCGAATTTTCTAAGTGGAAGGTCATAGCAAGACCACAGAAGAGCCCCTAAGGCTTTGGTGTTAGGTCAAACTGAGCTTCAGCATCAAAGGTGTTTGGAGCAATGTTATACTTTCCGTGGGAGTGTGGTAGCGCCGTAGGTCACGCAAATCAAGCATGCGTTTTTTTTTTCTAGAAACAAATCCAGCACACGTTAAATGCTAGAATGGATGAAACTTTGATCCGGAAATATCCCGGAAGGGTAAGTGGGGACCAGATGTTATTTAGTGTGGAATATTTCCGTAAATCATGATACGTATTGTAAATGTATAGGGCATAGCTCCCGAGTTCTGTCTGTCATCCATTGACAACAAATAACTGTGCGGCCTTCCTAGTACTAGTATACTACGCCTCTAAAATAAATCGACTTATCCGTATATTGTGATATGAACGCCGGCGTCTCCAGTATTTGATTTATTGAAAGCTTTAAATCTCGTGAAAGCATGGTCTATATATACACCAGGCGCCCTTTTAGATATCCGGGAGACTAAAATAAAGCATTAATACCCACGCGAAAGTTTAAGGGAAGAAATAACAAAATAAATCATGGTAGTTTTTAACACTCTTAGTCAGATAAATGGATTCAAATGTGGCTTTTGGTGCCAAGGTCTATGAAATTTTACGAGCAGAAGTAGCATAAACATAATCCTCTATCATTCATACGATGACCTCTGGCCGTTTTTAGACTAGTGGAAGCTTTAAAAGACAAATATCTCTCCTAGTTTTCACCTTTGATGTTATGCATAAAACATATTCGTAATAGGAAATGCGTGCTCCAAGCGATGCGCTTTCAAAGTGTCATAGAAACATGTAAACAAATTACGCTGTAATGTAAGATTGTAGCTGTCCTTGGTGCTGAACGCAAACCTACGTATAATGTATATTACCACATATAGCTTTTTTTCTTCCTAGACATGTACCGAACGTTCTATGTCAGAATGTTACCGTATCAAATGCACAGACATTACTAGTAGCCCAGAACGATAAAACCGTCCATTAGAAGCGCTTACAAACTCAGAGTGGCTACAAAGGCACCGCTGTACGCCTGGTGCTTTTCGGTAATCTTGTAGCCCAGACAGCTAAGTTTTGTCGATGAATATTTGAAACAGGCACCTCCGCGATCCTCAAACCAATCCTGTCACCATACATACATACAGGTAACATCTATTGATTGAAGCCACGTGAGCATCAAATTTTACGTCATTTTAGCACGATCCTTGTAAGGTGCTTCTTGTATTTACGTTTAAAGGTGTGGAATTTTGAATTTGCAGAACAGATTATTATTCCCTTGAGACTAGCCCTACTATTGATACACACACGACCTATCTGTAAGTCCATATTAAGTCCACGTAAGCCACAATATGCGTAATATATTGTAGTACGTTCCTACATTTGCGTTTCATTTTGCTTGCGTATCAAAGCGATGGTATTTTGAATGTTCCCTCGTACGCGTGTTAGTGCGGTAACATTCTGTCTTGAACCAAAACATACGTCTCTTTCCCTAATCTCTGAGTCACAGACTGCGCAAATCTGCATTAATTTCTCCGGATAGTTCAAAATCCAAATAACCCAACTATTAAGACTCATGGCTATAGTGAACAGCTGTCTACCGTGACCAATTCTAGTCCCTTGGATGATTACTGTCGACAGGTTTAACTGTAATGTATCAAACAATGTTTGTTACAGCATTGAGCCCGCAACATGCGTTTGAGATAAGCTCAGATACAGCTAATCAATCCGACTATCCTCTTTTACGGTTATGTGCGAGCTTTCCGCGATAAGACTGCCGGACAGATCGATGAAGATATATATTTCTCCGCATCAGGCAGTCCGTTTACGAATAACACAAGCCAGCAGAGGGAGAGACTGGCGGTAAGCCTTCTTGTATCTTCCATGACTGAAGTTGCTTCATGTCCACACGGCAATCTGTTTCTCTCGCGAAAATCCTGCCGGTATCTCTTTCTGTCAACCTACCTTTTAACCTGACGGCCAGGGAGGAACGGTAGGCCGCGTGGGACGATATTTTATCCTTCAGAACGGATGGCCGAACGTAATACCCGGGATAATCACTCTCTCCGTATGCATGACGTTCTCCGGTTTCAACTATAAACTTATAAATTTGGGCATTATTTACCTCTGTCAGTTTTCATCACTTCATATTCTGTACCACAAACTACATAATCTGTATGCATGGACGTGGTGCTTCACCCGTATTCAGAGCACTAAGTCGCGGCGAGCGAGAGGAAATTTGATTGGAAAATTGGTTGCACCGGTAGGTAGTGAAGTCATCTGCATGAATTAAAGTGGGCGTACAAAATCCCTGCCGAGTGGTTATCCTACTGAAGGGCAGGGTAGAGGACTGGTGATGTCAGCCGCACAGCGGTGCAATGTCTCCCGTATCATAGGAATCCGTGATACGAGCCACGCCTTTCGCCAAACTAACCTACCTTTTGGGGGGGGGGGGCTCAGTGATTTCGGTGCGCACCAAATGCAACCTTTGCACAACACAAGAAAAGAAAAGCGACTTTTAAACATTTAGAGTATTTCTTTCAATTTGAGTATTTCCATCCTTTCTCCAGTCGAACGCTCCAGACACTAGGTGCTGTCACGCATGGTGTGTAATCTTCATAACAAGGGGAGCAGTTAATAGCGGTTATGATGAGTCGCTTCGCCTCGCAGCCTCCCTAGATTGCACGCCTTTCATTGTGTGAAGCCGCACGTACCAAGACAAGTGTTGGTTAATTTAAACTTTTAACTTCAGGGCAAACCGCGTCGTCAGTCCGCGGCGAGGCGTGCCCTATTTTGAACCGGCCGTGTTTGCGCCTTGTTTTTCTTCATGTTTTAATTGGTCTGCATCTGCAGGTGATGGCGAAAATATATGGCGGAGACGAGGTCGTTAGATTTCGCCAAACCCCTCGAAACAATTACCGTTACGTTAGTACAACACATTACCTATTACATCTTTATTTTCCATGTGTCTTATTTGCGAAAGGCTTCCTGAGGGACATGTTATAACACGACAAGTACGAGCCATGCGGTGAAACGGCGGGAACAGGAGGGATGAGAAGGCGCGACTCACCTGTTTCCCGGGGTGGTTCCGCACGGCCAGAAGCTCCCCCAGCAACCAGTCGACGTCCAGATCATTCTTGGTGCTGCACATGGGGTCAACACCGCCGCCCGAGCCCGCCGATCCGCCCAAACGCTCGCCCGAACACCGCACCGCACAGCAGGAGACACACACACGGCAGCGGGAAGGCCGGATTCGCGCGGGCTGGCGCGCGTAGGAGCAGGGCGGATGTTCAGACAGGCGTTAGAAAACGTGCCAAGAGCAGGTGTTTCTTAGCTGCAGTACTGGCGACCCGTGTCTGGTGGCGCTTGGCGCATACACACTTTTCGTTTTTGCCAAAAAAAAATTAGATATTTCAGTATTTGACATGGTCTCTTCATGTTAAGTCACCTAAATATGCGACCTAAATATTTACTAGTAATTGATGGAATTCGTTGTACCTTAGGTAGCACAGCTGTGGTAATGATGAGGCGGAAGTGACAGGGAGCAGGGAGAGTTACTTCCTGTTTCAGACGTTGGCGCCGTCCATTAATTACTAGTACCTGGGAGAGGAGGGCGGTAATAATGATGAAGACACTCCGACTAGCAGTACTGTGTATGTTGCATTGTCTAGACGTCCATGAAGATACGTGGTATGGTGTTTCCTCAGGATCGATCACGACTAATTGATTTTCTAAATTCTAATGGTAAAAATAAAAGTCTCAAAGTAAGGAGGCGGGAAGCACATCTATCTCGCTCTCTATCCGTCTCACTCTCTCTCTCTCTCTCTCTCTCTCTCTCTCTCTCTCTCTCTCTCTCTCTCTCTCTCTCTCTCTCTCTCTCTCTCTCTCTCTCTCTCTCTCTCTTCAACAACAGCCCACAATCAAATATTTGGCGAACGTCTTTATTGTTATATGATACCTCACATAATATTTCATGGTTTTACGTCCTTGCACAACAACGCATATATGTCATTTTTGGCGGGTAAATCACGTTAAAATCAAGAGGCTCATTCTGCATCATGAACAAATATGGTATGTCTCACAATTATCTTCAACTATATTTCAATTGCACGATATTTGATAAATATCATCATTAATCAAACGATTAACATTCTGTTGACATTAATGTGACCTTGTACGGAATGTCAAAGTTGCAGCTCAAAATTACGGCTCATTAAAATTACATAAAATTTCATTAGAGTAAATGAAATTAAGATAAGATAAATCAAACATCTAAATATTGATAGGCTGTTTCAGCGATACCGAATTTTTACGGTCATTACTATAGCTTAATACACTACGGCTCATTCAAATTAAATTAAATTGCATTACATTACATTACAGTATAATGAAATCAAAATAAAATACATTTATCATCGTACGCGTTTCAAGGTACTAAGTTGTTTTAACAATGCCATAGTTGTGCGTTCATTACCATTCGGTAATTCTATAGCGTAATACATGGCTAATCACATATGGCTCTCCCATCCGACATAATATGATATCATACAATTGATGACACTCGTGTTGATGAAACAGGATGGCACTCTTGTTGACCCATAACTTTCCTGCCAAGATGCACTACAAATGATAGCTGTGTTAATGAAACAGATCTAGACCGCTATTTTTGCATGCAAGTTGGCCGCGATGGTGAAATATTTTGTATATAGAACATGTAACCAAATAGAGGTTTGTCCGTTGGTATGCCGTTAATCTATAGCAGCTCGTCGTGAAGTCGGTATCGCACAGACCTTCTTGTCAGATAGTCATTGATAGTCAGAGTTTGCCTTTTCAAAAGTAGAAAGTAACACCCTAAGTGTGGAGACGCCAAATTAGATCAAAGTATCGTCACCATATTGTTTCTGACACTGCTCTATGTGACTTAGAAGGTAGGATATCCTTTCCTTCAGTCCTGTGTACAGGTCTACCTGTCCGAAATAGTTTTCGATGGACTGCACGTCCAAAGCCTCCTTAGCCAAGGCTTTCTCGAGAGAGTCCACAAATTCGTCCGCTCTGGATGTATTTGTCTCAAAGTTGTAAAAGCGTTCTAACACGTGTGTTCTAAATCTACAGTTTCCATCGAGGGCTGTTTCACCGTCGTCCCCTCCCCAACACGCGGCAGGGCAGTTGGTTGGGCCGTGCGGGTTGGGGGAGGGGGGCGGATAGAGCGCTGGATGGCAGCGCAGGATCGACTCACAAACTGCGGTCGGGATGGACGGTGAGAAGGCGGGTCTGTTGTCGTAGACGACGTGACGTAGTTCTGACGTCGCCAGGCCGGTGCGCTCCGAGTTGTGCGTCAGGAAGTCGAAGACGATGGCGTCGGTGACGTCCCACGTCATCTGACGGGTCACTCCCGCGTCCTCAAGGTCATTGAAGGTGATGTGGTGCGACAGAAAGTCCTTCATCTTAGGATTCAAGTCTACATCAACGCGGAGGGATTTAACTCTCCCAACCACCACAATGTCCAAGAACGGAGCTCCGTCCTCCGTTTTCATCTGGTTCGCGACCCACTGGATTGTCTTGTCCGTATCTTTGCCCTCATCTTTGACTTGGGACAAGAACTTCTCCAACGTAACCTTACTTGACGTATAGTCGTGTAGGAGGTCTCCATGCGGTTCAATTACACCTTTCAGGCGGAGAGAATCATCGAGAAACAGGCGGCGAGAAGCGACCACCGGGGTCCGGCCCAGCTCCATGAGACGGTCGACATGGTAGGCCACGAGCTCGGCAAAGCCTCCGTTCATAATTTCTCCAGCGATACGCTGCCGAACTGATGTTCCGACTACTTTCAGGTAACCAATGTGGTCGTCTTCGAACTTCGCAATCATGTAGTCCCTTCCCTGGACCATGTACGCGTACTGGATGGCACCTGTCTTGTACATCTGTCTCAGAATAGGGTCGTATTTGTCCGCGTCGTATTCGTCGCAATTCCTATGGTAGTGAGCTAACAGGGTGGATACACGTCCATCAATCTCTTCGTATATTTCTGGGTTTTCCTTTAATATAAGCGGTCCCATTTCTTCGTCTTTAATGATCTCCTCCCTTAGTTGACTTCCTAAACTTGGCACTTTTGATGAGACGGCGTTGGCATGTTTGAATTTATTGATTATGTCTGCCGGCATGTCACAGACGTGTGTCTTGGAGAATAACGTGTCTGTTAACACCGTCAACCGTTTGCGGTAGTGAAGAGTGAAGTTCAGGGCCACGACCCTCTCCGGCACGAAACAACGATCGTTGTCGATGAGGATGTAATCGAAAGTTTCTTTGCTGGCAAAGTGGGAATGTCCGGATTTCATGCAGTTGGACAGATAGAGAAACATGACGTAAGGGTAGAAGTTCTTCGGGTGGACTAAGTCCGCTAACAGCACAGATAACTTCGTGAACATCCCAATATCAGGCACCCACGCAGTGACGAACGTGGAAACCTGATTGCCGTTGTTGTCGCTCAGACCGCAGCTCATGGTTTTGTCGATAAACGCGGACGCGTTGGAGTCCAGGATGTGTGAAAAATCGAGCATCAGTCCGAAAGACGGCGGCGTCAGGTGAAACTGCAGAACCCGGTCAAAGTAGTAGGTTTTCAGCTCTCTCAGATGGCTCTCCGCCTGGTTGTGGGATATGTTACTGAAGACCGACTTGATTCGGACTTTACTTTTTAGACACTGGCTGTCCGTGTACTGGTAGAAGTCCGCGGAGAAGGAGAGTCCACACTCCGCCCCCGGCGCGCTGCCCTCCGTGCTGATGGACGCGTCCTTCAGGTCCTGGATGTCCTTCAGACGCCAATGGTCGTAACTGCCGAACGTCAGTTCCTCCGTCGCCTCCTTACAGCAGTTCGCGCAGAGGTCGATCCTCTCCAGGCGAGCGTCCACCAGCGGTTCAGGGCTGTAGTCTGTCCACATGCACTCGGCACGTGGCACCTGCACGTTGAGTTGACATTCTGGATGGTCCAGGTAGACTTGGGGCTGTAGGCAGGGTTTCTGCGGCATCCGTTGGGGCAGTGAAAAAGTGGACTTCGGCGTACGTTTCGTCGACCCAGTGTTCACGAAGAAGCATCGCAACCGCACGTTGTCAGAGCCGCGGTCGGTGTTGGTTCGCTCCACTCCGGTGCTGTAAACCTTGAGGTTTTTCTCCGAGTTTCCGATGGCCAGAACGTTGTTGATGTCCAGAGTAGCCACGTTATCCACACTACCTTCTCCATACCAGACGCCGACTTTGTTGTTGACAACCACAGAGTCGTCCAGCGTCACGTTCATTTTACCGTAGCCAACACGCAGTCCGATCGCGCAGTTCCGTATGATCAGATTCCTCAGAGTGACGTGGCTCTTCTCACCTGACGTCAGAACACCAGCCCGACGGAAGTCCTCGATGATTGTTGACTCCACGATGACGTGAGAACCCTGCTGATTGATGCCCAGACCGCCGCCAGCCGCGAAGACACTGTTAGAAATCACGGAAACGTCGGATGGCTCTGATGTGGTTCCAGGCGAGAAGAAGGAGAACGAGTCCTTCGTGAAATCAGATGTGATTCTCTGGTCTTGGCTGATCTCAGTGACGTGAACATTGTCCATATGAAACACAGCCTCTCTCGCTGAACCGCCCCCCTCACACCTGGCAATGACCGTCCCTTGAAGGACGATTGTACAGACTTCTCCTCTGATGGCTTCGCCGACGTTGTCGACCAGCCCCCCTCCATGAAAATTCACGGCGGCATTTTTCTGGACATGAACTACCGGCGTGGTGTCCAGGCTGCCGAAGTTGGGGCTCTTCGCGCTCCCGCCGTGCGTTAGCCAGGTGTTCCGGAGGTCGCCCTTCGATCCTCGATGAAACACGATCTGGTCCCACGGCTTGACCCTCCCCTTTTCATCAGGCAAAGCCGTGAAGAGGACTGGATCATGCCCCTCTTTTCCCATCTTCACCTGGCCGACGACGTCTTGACGTGACCCTGGGCTCATAAGAAACACCACGCCCGGTTTCACAGTCAACGTGACTCCCGCAGGAATCTTCAAGCTTCCCTCGATGACCACGATGCCCCTAGACCAGGCAGAATCTTTGTCCAGGCCAAGAGAAGCTCCCGACACTTTTCTGACCGGAATGTCTGTGTGACGGAGGTCCACTGCCTCCACGGGAAACGTCTGAGAGCACGACTCCGTCTCGCTGTTCTCGGCCGAGTCCTGTGCGATGTACCTGTTCACTCTGACCGACACTTCCCAGACTCCGGGCTTGGGGAAGGTCAGGACAGCAGAGCCGATGCCGTAATATAAGGTGAGGCCAGACTCGATGTCTTTTGCGCCTTTGCATCTTGCCACAACTGTTGCCTTCGCCCGGGGAGCATGGCGACTATGTGTGCCGGTGACCTCTACTTTGATTGGAAGCGGAGCGTGAATGGGAATGATTGGGGAATACACAACGCTGTCCAGGCGGCACCCCACGGATGTCTTTTCCGACACAACCTTCATAGCCTGGCGCACCTTCTCGGGGAGGTTGTTGCCGGCGCTTCTGTAGACGACGGTGACGAGGACGAGTCCTATGGCGGCGAAGAGGACGTACCGCATCGCCCTCCGGGAAGGCAACACTACACAAACGAGACGGCAGGAATTATTCTCTATTCTGTATGTGTCATGGTGTCTCTAGCTGATGCAATGTTTATCTTACGGTGCCGCCACATTCCTCGTAGGCCGTCGCACGATTTTGATGCCGTGTAATAACTTTCAAGCTGTAATAACTTTGTATCTGTATTTGTATTCAAGCATTTTGTGCCAGAACCAACCACAAACAATCTAAGTCATTCTTTTCCGTAACAAGACAGATGAATATTGCAAGACACGTGCATGCATGGCTATCCCAATAATAGATTGTCCTATGTTTGCAATCGTTAACATCGTTATACAGGCTGAACAATACAGATACAGATCTACGGCATAAAGAGGCTATCTTTTAGTTTCAAAATGGAAACCTATTCAACCTGGTGCAATCAGTGCGACTGAATCCCTGCATACATAGAATACACCAGTGTTTTTAAGACACAGAGCTACAGAACTACCCTCTTGCTACTATTAGTTTTAACACGAGAACGATAGAGGAACAAACACGAGTACTGATTGTTATTACGTGTACTTACGCAAGGTTGTCGACTTAATCATTTTGTTCTCCACGGCACTGAGCAGAAAGCGGACCGGTGGTGGGACGGGGGGTGCTGTGTTCCTGTAACAGGCCCGTATGAATATAGTAAATACACATAAAGGGTCACCAAGGTCGTAAGGTGCAGTAAATCACTGCCATTGTTTTCTACAGACGCAGTGATAAGGGGTGTTTGTCTCCAAGCAGAGGTTTGGGTTTGGGATTATTTTTGGTGTGATTTTAGGCTGTTTTATCGGGCTTTCTTTTTTGCACTGGTATTGTTTGCGTGAAAAAAAAAAGATATGAGTGCAAAAAAAAGAAAGCCCGATAAAAAACCCTAAAAACAGCCAACAATAAGCTTAAACCCAAACCTCTGCTAGGAGAGGCTTGCAGAGGCAGGATTCAATCGCCTTCCAAGTGTACATGATAGATAGTATGGGATTCCCAATGTGTGAATGTGAATAGTAAAATTTGATTATTAACGTCCTGGACTTAATAATCTCTTATCACTTGTGGCTTTCTTTGTACCATACGTCTTTTTGTGACGATAGATTGTCTTTTTTTCGCATCAGCTGCAGGTGCCTTCGACCTGTGGCCATTGCCAAGATGCCAAGGCCCTTGACAAAATGTACTCAGCTGGTCTATCAAGTAGGAAAATAGGGTAGGTAAAATGCAACACGTGCACATTTTAACATTCTGTATTGTTTTATGATTAGAGTGACAAGAATTGTTCAAATGACTTAGAGGTCATTTATATATACGTGGCGAGCAGGGCCTGTAAACTCATGCGCAGAAGGACCCTTGCACCATGATACTTTTTCGTCACGCCCGTTTGTTTGTCGCTGTTTGCGTCTCGCTGTTACCTGCAAATCTGTTGCTAAAATGATATTTCAAAAACCTTACGTATCTGTATATATTGAGTGCAACGACTCACATACAGTTTTGCAGGAAATCACCGTAAGTTTGTGGCGTCGAATGACCGAGTGCACGTGGGTGAGCTAGCGCAAGATCTAGAGGTCACGGGTTCGAATCTTAGAATTCCTGGACAGGCGCTGTGTCCGTCAACTTGAAAGGCACTTTACCTTACTTTCCTCACTTCACCCAGGTGTAGAATTAGTACCTGACTTCGTGTGGGGTGGTGGAAGGAGAGAAATGGACTCCAATTCCCAATACCGTGGCCTAAACACAGTGGATCAACAACCCCTGCCCCTACGGCTTCAAATAGGCTAGCGCTATGATATGGGACTTTTACCTTACCTTACCTCACCTCCCGAGAGTTAGGCTTGACGCGGCGCTGAGTGTTTGAAGAATGAGCGCCGGTCGCCGTGATATGTGGTTGTGTTTTGTGTGTACATATGTTTGCGGCCTTGTCGGGGATTATTGCTATTAACGCCGCATTGCGCAGAATCAAATGTTAATCGCCAACACATCCGCAAGATGCGAACGGACATTCACCTACTGGCTGAACATGGATGGAAAGTTTACCAAGGCCGCTGTAGAAATATCAACTGTATTAAACAAAACGGTCAGTTACCGAAGTTTTATCTGAAATTTCAGAATTGAAATCCGGGTAACGTCATACCTCGTAAACCAATTGGCTCAAAAGTTTTAAAGGGGGCAATGGAATAGGGTTGATTCAACTTACTTTGTAAAGAAATGACCAAAAATTGACTCTTTGTATCCTCCTAATGTTACATAATGAAGTACGGTACGTGTGAGGTGAGGTCACGTGTTTGCCCTCCACACACACGCACCTCAAATTTGTTAGCCCGGGCTGATCATTAATCTTTTGATAACGCTGTCTCTCATTCCACAAAGATGGAAACGGCAGTACGTGTATCAAGAACAGACATATGCAAGATAAATTCAACGATATGAAACATGTAGAAATCACATATCTCAGAGTACAAGAAGACCTTTTAGAAAAGTTCTAAATCAAAACGTCCCATGTTCTTCCAGGTAAACACGTCATGGAGATACACAATTTTCAGAACGGAAAACCAATACCGTTTAGTTATGTTCACGTACGTTAAACAACGCTTGACCGGATGACTGACCTCCGTAACGACGCTTTCTTGCGTCACAGTTATTTGAAGCCACCCAGGACAAGATGTGATGAGTTGTTGGTCTCCGCGTTACTGTGAGCAATCGCCTATTATCAATCACATGATGATCTCAGGGTTTCACGTGGTCAAATGATGGAGCATCTTTCTGGGCACGATGTTTAACCTGAACAAATATTATCACCTCTCAATGGGACCAGAATGACAGGCCAGATTGAAGATTCCCTCACGACTTCAATGAAAAGTGGCCAGCACGCCGATTTTAGTTTTTGCCGAATAAACAGTGCCACAGGCTCAAACAAAGAAACAAACAAGCCATGTCAATGCTGGTCTCCTCTTTCTTCTGAGACCCATACCTTCTGAAATCTAATTCGTGTTTGGATCAACAATAAAGGTATCTGAGAGGAATGATTGATCTTCAGAAAAGCGTGTGTATTCTATTTGGTATGAGATACAGTCGAACTGCTAGTAATCACTCGAGTACTTGAGATGATCTAACGTTATATTGATGTTTCACTGGCTTCATTGGTCACATCAGTGACCGCATAATAAGGACACCGTCAAGGTTATGTAGTTTGGCCGTCCGCCACATTGTGTTGTACATATCACTTGATCAGTCTAGACCACAAAGTCAACCTGTGTTACAGCTGACAGAGGCTAAAGTTCGTGTGTGCTCTGCCCCACGTCACCCATTCTTCGTTAACGTGTGCAATTGGGGGTTGAAAATGGCGAAAAATAAAGTTCTCTATAAAGCTTACGTAATGGGCCTAACTTGTTACTACTATTGTTCACTTTCCCAAACAAGTTTTGGAAGGTGCTGGGACTTTCCCTTTTTTGAGATATTGACCGTTTATCGCCGTGATGTTACTTATATTTTGGTGATATCGAAAAAGCGTGTTAACCCACTGGTGGTGTCTTCTACACGGCTAATTCAAGAGTTCAAACCGTTTTTCTGACTTTTATCCAAGCGGAAGCCCTTGGCGTGCCTGTTAGTGGGTAACATTTGATAGCTCTGTCTGCTTTTTGAGAGAAATCACCTAATTTTGTTCCGATTAAGTTGGAAAAAGTGTGAACAAATCAAATACATAACCCCATCTTTTCTCGTGTACAAAAAATACGTGCAACATCCACTTCGTTTTTCGCCGGAAGGAAGACCAAAGAACTGTAGAATACAACGGTGAAAAAAGTTGGGATGAACCTATATATACGTAACCTACAGACGTCCTTGCATTATAGTAACGTAAGTCAATACTTTAGTAACGTAAGTCAATCATTTTCAATATGAAATATACAGTGGTTGTAACGATTCACTTATGTGTATACGTGGCACTAGGCATGCAGCCTACCTCTGTTTGTTCGAAATAAGCTAAATGCCATTAATAACTATGGTAACGTAAGTCAACATGGTGAAGTTGCTCCGCACTGACCACGTTACATTTTTACTACATGTCTGTGGACTGAAAGCCAATGAAGAAATGCAACTATCAAAAGGCTCTGATAGCTGTCAAATTTATTGAATACTGCTTATTTCATTAATTGTCCTCAATTACTGATGGTAACGTTAGCCAAAATAACAGACCGGACCGTCACGGCGTTTGAATGGCCACAGAGGTAAGAACTCACACAACTGTCAAATACATCGAATAGTGTGTATACATGTATCATTAAGCTAACTGTCCTCAACTATTAATGGTAACATTATAACAAACCGGACAGGTGTTCAATTAGCCACAGGAGACCCGACGCAAGTTCTGTTAACTGTCAAATACATCGAATAGTGTGTATACATGTATCATTAAGCTAACTGTCCTCAACTATTAATGGTAACATTATAACAAACCGGACAGATGTTTAATTAGCCACAGGAGACCCGACGCAAGTTCTGTTAACTGTCAAATACATCGAATAGTGCTTATACCATTAAGCAAACTGGCCTTTAAATACTCATGGTAACATTAGCCAATATAACAAACCGGACACATGGGGAAAAACCCACCCAAGTTCTGACAAATTTTAGTCAGATACTGTGTCACTTGTGGGCCACTTTCAGTGCAAAGCACTCTTCTATGTGTTGAAGTGTGGCCTCGGAAAAGGTGAACATCCTTTCAGACTTTGCCGTCGGAAGTGGCTTTGGAACAACGCAGAGCACGTCAGCCGGATCGATCCAGAGATCATCCTTCCTCTGTGGCCACTTGAACTTCTGTCCGGTTTGTTGCATGAACCGGACACTGTACTCTCCATCATCTACATCCTCCACTTCTCCGACGTACCAACTAGAGTCATACACCGCTGCCACGTAGTCGCCAATTCCAGCTACAGGAACCAATGCCTGGACAGGACCTGTTTTCCTGTTTTCCAATTTGTGAGTATCCCACTTACACAGACTTGTATCTGTGTGAAACCCATGCGAGTGGAAGCACTTCTCACAGTAGCAAGAAGTGGATCTTGTCTTGACTTCACCGGTATCTTCCAACCACCGCGTGGAATGACATAGTGCCAGGAATGGCTTTCACGCTTCCGTACTTTCTCGGTGAAGGTAAGTCTGGTC